CTGAGCTAAATTTTGGGTGTCATGGCAAAGGCTGTGAATACTTATGTACATGTTATGTTTTCGTTCATTATTAACAGATTTGCAAAAATTAGCAAAAAACAGTTTTCACTTTGTCATTATGGGATGTTGTATGTAGAATGTTGAGGAAAATAATGAATTTAATCCATTTTGGAATAGGGCTGTAACATAACAAAATGTGGAAAAAGTGAAGAGCTGTGAATACTTTCCGGGATGAACTGTGTATATATATATATATATATATATATATATATATATATATACACACAATATAATGCCAGGTGGCTGAACAATATTGGTATATATCAATACTAAATATGAGTACACACTATAAGTAGGGCAATGTTAGTTTGGACCAATATTTTAAATTTTACACCAGTTTTGTGAACCATAAACCGTGACATATGGTCACTCAGACAAGATGTCTGAGTGAACTAAACAAGACACCTTCACATATGAAGAATCAGACGATGGGCGGGTTGATCCCCGGCTCCCTAAGCCTGCATGTCGATGTGTTCTTGGGCAAGACACTTATAATAGCTGCTGTATTTGTTACTAAGATTGTGTGAAGGGTGTGAATGTTAGTCAGATAATAAGGAAAGTAAAGATAGTCCTTTATTTGTCCTGCAGGAGGGAAACGTACAGGGTTACAGCAGAAAAGGGAAAAAAGTGTGCAGACATAAATTCAAGATCCAATCAAATTCAATAATTTCTGTGATATGGATAGAAAGTATTGTACATCTTTTACGTTGTTCATTGCGCACAATGACATCTATTGTATTGTGTTTGTTATAAGATTTCTTCCTTTTTGTCTTTTTTTGCAGTTTATCCAGTGCCAATGAGTGGGTTTTGAGACAGAGAGACTGATGAATGTACAGAATAAACAACGTGGAAGATTCATCCGACAGAAATGATTCAAATACACATTATCTCCTCATATGCGCTCATAATCATCTCCTGCGCGTCAGCGGAGAATTTTTTTTATTTAAGTTGTATTTGCCGTTGTACTGTTAAAAAATCCTGGTTTTGGTGATCGACTCTTCTGTCATCTAACGTAGGACGCGCACGCGCGATTATCCTGATGACTGACATCTGGTTCAACGAGACGGTTAGAGCGCCGATCAGCCTTTGAGGAACCGAGATAGCCTGACATCAATCATCTTATTAATTTTAGCTGTATAAAATGATCCTTGTAGTATTTTGACCAAATGATGTTACAGAAATGTCATTAAGACCCCAAAGAACCATATCAACTTGTGGTAAAATGGGCTTACGAAATGTTCTTTAAAGTGGGTCCAATATTACAGTATTCAAATGAAAATGTATTTTTACAGTAATCAATTGACAGTTTTTTGAAAAAGACATCAAAGAATAAAATAATAACTACAGTAATGATTTCCTAAAGAACGCAAATGAAGTCAGATTATTTTGCGAGAAGGGCGTCCAAGCATTCTGCGAACAGCGTCATCACGTATTAATGCAGATATACAAGCCATTAGCCGAGTGTTATTGTGAGACAAACCTTAAATCAACTCCATAACAGGACAGAAACTCTTTGCTTGGATTACTGTTGCACGGAATTCAATAAGTCTCTTTGTCCGTATTGCCTTCCATCAGGAGTGTTTGTTCTTTAACACTAATTTCACACTAACAGCAGACAGTGTTGGGCAATAATAATTGATTCATCAGTAGCTGCCAGCTGTGGATCTGGTCCTCTTTAGATAACCCTGCCGGCCATATGATACGCTGTTTTCCTTTTTAATTACAATATTTCTACATCTTATTTAATGCACTAGACCAGCGGTTCCCAAAGTTTTTAGGCCACCCACCCCATTCCACATCCCGACCTCGTTCATGCACCCCCAATCCCCCCAATAAAAAAAAGAAAGAAAGAGCATATTTAATACTTGCAATAAAATTGGACCAATAAAAGGAAGGTTTGCTCATGCGTGGTATTGTTATCTAATATTTAGATGCCAGTGAAATCTTGCAGTGTCAACAAAAAAACAAACAAAGCCCTAACTGCAACATTGATCATATTATATTAATCCTGAATCGGAACAAACAAACTGCAGATGGAAAAATGCCCTGAAACACTGCAACAACGTTTCAATCTCTAATTTTGGGTTTACCCTCTGATTGGAGGGCGGAGATTGGAGAATCTATTAATGCTGCTTTAAGTATTAACATGTGTTGGGCAGTGAGGCCAAAGAGATACCGATCGTTGGTCCTCTTCAAAATGCATATTTTAAGGACACTTTTCATCTGCAAAGAAATAATTGAGCATGTTGTGTCTTACCCTCAGTCGACTTAGGGGCATTCTGATGTAAGTCCCGGATCTCCTCCATTTCTGCCTCTTCCCGAGTTGTTCCCCGATGGGGTCAATAGCACCTCTGTTTTCTAAATTGATTCCAATTGACGCGTCAGGATTTTTCTGCAAATTCAGCTCTCAGAGCTGTAGATGAAGCTATTTTGGGGTATTGATTTCTGTCCCCTTCAGGTTGAGAACACGTATAGGCACAACCATGTTGTATTGTGAAGGAATACGGATGGATCCCTGGCTGTGACCACCGAGACCACTGGACCGCCGGAATACGACTGTTTTTTTCAACCGTCCATCAATGTTGAACATATACAATGCTAAATACGTGCACGACTCAGAGGGAAATTCCAGTGGAATACAGGCGTGGTATTATCTTTGTAGCTGTGACCATCACTTTTAGTCAACATTTCAGGTGGTTTTGATCAGCGGCTCATAACCTTTGTGGCTGATGACCCTTTAAGACAAAAACAAGAAAGTAAATCGACAACCTCTTCATCACACGTTGCATATAGTGGTCTTGGGGAAAAGGCTACACAGTATAAAAAGCATCAACAAGTTACAATTAAGCTATGCTAACTAGGGCATTGATGTCCTAAATCCTCGTTCCCATTACACACAGATAATTGTACCAATCTCATTAAAGTTGAAAACAAAAACAAAAGAGAGGAAAATTCTGTTATGCTTGACTATCTCTAAAAATGTCTCATGTCCGATGATTTATTCAGTCGGATATCATAATGTTGTGATGTTCCCTCAATAATGACCTGAATACAGATGTGGGAACACTATATAAATCATGTTGGTATGTAATAAAACACGGGTCAGCGCAGCGCGGTTCTCTGCTGTGCTGACCTCAGACCAGCCCGCTGTAAATGCTAAAAGGACTGTACTTGTATAGCGCTTTTCTAGTCTTCTGACCACTCAAAGCGCTTTAACACTACATGACATCCTTCACCCATTCATACACTGATGACAGGAGAACCATACACAGTGACACCTGCCATCAGTAACATTACACACTACACACTGTAGTCGCAGCTACAGGAGCACAGTTGGGTTAAGTGTCTTGCCCAAGGACACGACAACATGCAGGTTAGCAGAGCCTGGGATCGAACCGACAACCCTCAGATTGGAGGACGACCGAGCTCCCCACTCACCCACAGTCGCCCTGTACTGTGCTCCGTTCCTTCATTTGTAAATATTAAAACATTAGCGGCTACAACTAACGCGAATGCTATGTGTGGGGTTATGAATGCATTCCTCAGGCTGGCTCCTCCCCATCCAATCCCCTAATTAGTGCCAGCAGTTAAAACACTTAATAAATGTGTTGGCTGCTGTTGTCTGGACTCTATTGATTTACCTCCGCCTTATGCTTTCAATATTCCTTTTAGCTAAAAGTACATGGCTTAACCGAATTGAATTTAAAATGACCGGAAAATGTTCTTCTCTAAGCCTCAAATATATCATGTTCCAGCTTCAAAGCATATCTTCCAAAATGAAATAAGATTACCCTCTCTATCTGCATTTTAGACATTTTTTACAGCCCAGCAGGTTGCTAGGCAACGGCAAAGCTGATGACGTAAGTCCCTCCGTAGGCCAGACCGTCCCATTTCAGCCTTTGCCGTTTTTGAAGGACCCAGCCGAGGTCGACTGCAAAGGGAGCGTCCTCATGAAAAAACCCAGCCACAGTACAAGGACCTGTCAATCACAGTGGGCCGTAGAGCACACCCTGCTTTGTGATCTGTTATTTTAAGGAGACCATAGTTTCCTAACTAACCATTAACTATCACATGTTATTTAGCTGACGCTTTTATCCAAATCGACTTACAATAAGTGCATTTCAACCATAAGGATACAAACTCAAAAGAACAAGAAAGTGCAATTTCATTAAATAAGCCAATTTACAACTTGCTATAGATAAGAACCATTATAAGTACAATTTAGGAGCTACAAGTTTTCAGTACAGTCTGAAGAGGTGTGTCTTTAGTTTGCAGCGGAAGATGTGAAGGCTCTCTGCGGTCCTGATGTCATCAGAGCCTCATTCGACTATTTCGGAGCAAGGACAGCAAACAGTCGTGATCTAGTCGAGTGTTTTGCTCTCAGTGAGGGAGGAGCAAGCAGTTTTGCAGATGCAGAGCGGAGTGCGCGGGTTGAGATGTCGGGTTTGACCATGTCCTGGATGTTCTCAGACTTCTACACAATCAGACTTCTTTTTGCACCCAGAAAGAAACATTTTTGCCTTTATTTGTCACTATTCAAAATGTGAATTTAAATGAGGCCTTCTAAATATCGGACCCCAGATCTCCTGCTCATGCTGGAAACAGCAAAGCAATGTCTATGAGAAGAGAAGAGGGTTTGCACTGGCCTCCCACCTCATTGATTCATGTGCTCATAGTTCCATGTGGATAAGGAGGGCCTCACTCCAGCAATGGCGGCACCAGCACTGAGGCTGAAAGAAGCATCGCTGTGAGATCTATTTTACTGGAAACAAACGCAAACGGTATTCATGCAAAAGGAAAACGACAACGGAAACTGATTAGTGCCATCTTAACGCAGCTTTTACAGACAAGCACGGGAAGGAGGAGCTATTACACAGCACTTTAATGTAATCAAATGTTCTTAAATGCCTTTACGGGGCGTTTTAAGCGCCACTTCTCATCTGAAGGTGATGTGTTAATGCATCATAGCACCATCTGTATTTTGTCCACAGTCCGCTGATCACTTCCCGTCCTCCTGAATGTCAAACTGTCTGCTGGATTTGGTGGACTCCAGCATGAGTTCGTACAGTTGGCCTATCTGGTCCTCCTGGAAGCTGCCGAGTGTCCCGTCGGACAGGTTGGCGCCGAACTTCACAGAGCGCTTCTGTCCCCCTGCTGACTCCAGCACCTGAGTCTGCAGCGTGTCCTTGTAGTTCTGCGGAGAGGCACAGTGTTTAGTACCAGGTCTTCCACCCCATCTCCACTTTAACATTTATTTAATGCTTAGCTCATCCAATAAGGATATAATATGCCTACTCATTTTGCAGTATATAACATTATTATTACATTTAGCTGACGCTTTTATCCAAAACGACAATAAGTGCCTACAACAATAGGGATACAAACTCATAAAGGGGGACAATTATGCACAAGGGTTTAAAGGACAACAGGGATCATTTCTAGTTTTTATTCTTTTCTTGACAAGACGTTCCAACTTAGTTATATCTGTGGTTCACCTTTGAGCAACACAAATGAGTATGAATGCTCTGATAATTGGATTCTACTTACAGCAGTGAATCTAATATAAAAGGCTGGTAACTGAGGAGAAGAAATTAAGTCTGTTAACTCTTCCTGAATGGATTCATACTATTCAAAAAAGCATGTATACTGTACATGAATATGTATCTTCTAAATAGCTGAGTCAATTATTCTAGATAATATCCCTTATTGGTGGATTGGTAAACGTGACCACAATTATAACTTCAAAAAAGGTAGAGGATCCAAACACGTAAACCTCAATTATCTCTGCTTCGAACATCCACAGAGATTGTTGGCAGCTTTATGACTGATTTTTGTATCAGTCAATGAGTCCCCTGCGATGGGCACCAAGATGAATGTTTATCACTACATAGTTTTGTGCTACATGCAGCTCTCCGCTCCCTATGCTATGAACCGTGTGTGAATGTAGACGCGGCGTCTTGGGCGTTGGGAACTTGTTCCCTGCTGAGCAATAAGGAGCTGTTCCTCTGAGAGCCTTCTTCCTGCACGTAATCTCATTATGTTGAATATTTGCCAAAGGGGAAATATCCTCCCCAAGGCAGCTTAAATGAACACGCCAACCGTTTGACACACTCACTCATAGTTCAAGCACTGGGAAAGTCTTTTCAGTAAATGAATGTTCTTTCTTGGATCCATAGGATTAGCAGGAGTCTGCCATGTAAAATACACTGGTCACATCGGCACATTGGTTTTTATTAAAAGCAAATCTGAGAAATCCTAAAAGGGGAGGCGATGGGGTAAAAGTCCAAGTGTCTTCTTTCGGCATGCGCATGTCGGGGCCATTGTTTGCTCTAAAGGGGTAATTTTTCTCTTTGTTTAGAACCTCACACCCATTTGAAAAAATGTTAACACGTCACATTATTGTTACCTTCTAAAGAAGGTCGAGCTCTCTATGGCGAGGTGGAACAGGCAGGGCTGGCTTTAGCCTTAGACCTGGTTGAATGTATTTTCCCCTCTAATCGCCCCCAGAAGAATAAAGGGCTGAAAGTTACTCTGGACAGTGGCGCCGACACTGCAGTAAACCGTGGTGGTCATGGACCTCACGCCACTCATGTATCGGCCAACAATGGCGGTTTTCTTTCATTTCTATTGATCTGCGAAGTTGAAACTCAGGGTGCAGGACTACCTGGGACCTGCCCGGAGCCATGTGCTCAGAACTGTTCAATCAGCGGCCTGATCAATGCAGTCACGTGACAGCGCCACCAATTATGTTTACCCACTAACGGAAATCAATGTGAAGCCTGGTATTCATAATCCAACGGCAGGTCATTATGAATGCACGTCATTGTCGTGTGTGCGTGAGAGACATACGGACCATGTTGTTTTACATCACAATACATAGCTAATTTGGGAAATAAACACCAGTTTTGAAGATCCCACGTTTGAATAAAAGGGACATGAAAGCAACTGTGCATGGGAATAAAGCGTGAATAACAGGACTGAAACGAGCGGGACCTTCTGATCTCTATCCGGTTCTCTTCATACGACAGATTAAAATGCTGCTTTAGCTTTACAGGGATTTATAAATTTTGAATAAAGAGCTACCCATTGATTGATTACCAGATAATGTGGTATACTCCATTTGTTTATCAGCTAAACTCTATTGTTTACTATTAGAGTGCTTCTTTCTTTTTGGACAACAAATTCAAAACAAAACCAGAAGTGGAAGTGGATTTATGAGAAATTCTGGGGATTTTAGATGTTGTGAATTATAGGAACCGGTTGGTTGGTAGATACCAGGAATTAAACAATACAAATGAAAGACGTAGACCACAGTAGGTCAAACTGTGGCTACAGATGTTTTTCTGCAAATACGTCCTAATCATTTCCTATTCACACTACTCCCTCGTCTCTTCCTCTTTGGGGAAAGCTTCTTCAGCACAATGGAGCAGATTTATTAGTAGCCGAGAACTCCCATGGGTGCCTCTGAAATAAATGGATTACACACTGAACACTCAGTGGCTGTAATCTGATTGTGAGCCTCGCTCCGTGTCCGTTCAAGCAGAGCTACAGTGGAAACCACCTCCTGCTGATGGAATGGACGCAGAGGAGAAGAGGACTCCTGGCATAGTTTGTGTTATTAGGTCTCTGCTTTAGTAATCACATAATACAATTTGGGATGTGGGAATTAGATGTGTGTGTTACTAATGTGCTGTTGTGATTGGATCCCACCAAGAAACGACCTTGGATTTGTGAAAGCTAATGGGGATGCTGCTGACGGAAATTATTTTATTTGCCCCCAAATTAAACCAAACTAGCATCCTTCCTGGCCTGTGCACTCTGTAATGACAGAAGTCTGAATGGCTCTGGTGGTTAGGTGTTATCTCTAGTGCCTCGGTTACAGTACACGACTTTAGCCCAGATCAGAGGGCTATCTTTGCAGATATCTAGTGAATTCATTTCTGGACCTGTTGGGGAGTTACAGCCAAAGGGACCAGGTTGAGGGTTAGAGCCCCCTCGGCTGTGGCCTACCCGGGTAGTATAAATTAATATAATACATATCAATGGAACTGATTAGGTTAGTCAATTTACGACTTACAAGACGGACAGTTGAGAGCAGAAGTATTATAAAAGTATAGTATGTATTTTATCCATATTTTTGTTCTCCTGTTGAACTGCATAAGTTACATTCTATTCATATTTATTTGTAGATTTACATGTGATGAACAAAGTTTTAAACATTTTTTTTGTTTTTTAATAAAATATATTTTGATATTCTTAATGTATGCTCCTAGATTCATCCTTCTATACCAACAGTGGGTAAGCCAGCTTACCAATGTAATATAAACAATTGTTTAATTATTCAAAACAAAGTTTTGCCTGGGACTGTTTACTATTGATGAGTGTGTAAATATGAGGAAAGCCACTCGTCCCCCGATTGGAACGGAAGCAAATGGTCTCTAGGTTGTAAACAATGCATACTGATGCAGCGAGGCCTAATGAAAGAGACTCCTCCTCCCTGGTGGATTCTCACTTACGGCGATGACAAACGGAACTCTCCGGAACCCATCTGCAATCTCATCTACTTCATTAGATAAATTGGCTGCAGATGGCAGATTTTCCATCCCCCAGCAGCACGCAATTGTGCAGTAAAACATTAGCTCTCCCCTGTAGGGATATAAAAAAGGGGACCTGGCTCACTCTGCTGATTATTTTGGGAACTGGAGGTATACTGGAGATATACAGATTCCTCATCAGCACATGAATCCTGGTAGGTCCGAGGATGGTGCCAGGCTGGTCGACGTTTACATCAGATTAGGCCTGCGTTAATTAATGTACTAAAATAGTTATACGCAGTAAAAATGATTAGAGGAAGAATGGAAAGTCTTTGCATCAGAATAAGAATTAAAATAAGTCTCTTCCTCTAAATTCTGAGTGTGTTACACGACTGAGCTCAGTCAGGCAACACAAGTAGTATTCAGTAGATTATAAATGACTACTCTGGCCGGCGCCTGTAACATTAGTTTAGACATCAGGGCTCCTGATCTTATCTATGAAGGGCCTACCTGGACATATTCTCGTGGCCCAAAGTCATTGAATTGGTTGGAGGCCGCTATCATAATGTGTTTTGTTTGGATTAAACATTCGCAACGTGCATCACTTCGGGCAAAACTGTTTGAAAGGTTGTGTTTAACAAGGTTGGAAATATGAAAGCAGCTGGAGGTTGACACAACTAAATAAGTGAATATGGTGCGTGATGTTTAAGTGTTGATATATAATTGTCACAATGCCTATGTTTCTTGAAGGCAACGCGGTTGAGGAACGTTTTCAGCCTTCTGTCAGTCATGATACCACGCCCCTCTCAATTGATACCACGCCCCCTGTGCCAGATTTGAAAGTGAAGATTTAAAACACTAAACTTCCAGGTCCAATGTAGGAGTGGATATATGACCCAACTAGACGTTTACCTCGCGCGGCGTGGCCCTCCAGCTTACTGGCCCTGCTCTGCCATCACGTGGCGAAGGAGGGCCATCACACCGCGAGGCACAAGCCGGCAGAGGCCGCCCAAAGAGCTCCCTTCCTCCGCACCGAGATATGCGGGTTCATTGTACAGGGGAAAGGGACCGGAACTCACATTGTAGGCCGAGTATATAGTGTTTATTTACCTTCCACTCCGACATGAAGCCCTTCGCCTCTTCGGCTGATGCGCCTTTGTGTCTCCTGAACTCGTCTTTCACATACTGGTCTCCGAGGGCTCTCAAGTCTATCGGCAGGAAACGGTGCAGGACCAGAATGCGCTTGTACAGGGACCGGACGCTGGAGACGTGAGCCGAGGCCGCCATGGTGGTGGTACGCTACACACCGGCTAAGATAAGGGACAGGACACCAGAGTCACAAGGAGACTTATTTAACACACGCATGTCCTTGTTTATCCCGGAAATTAACTTCTTCTGGGTAGCAGGCGCGGTGACCGCCACCTACTGGACTGGAGCATTTCTCCACACATCTCTCAGGTGATTCACCTGAAGCAGCACCACCTGAATATAATATATATGTGTATATATATATATATATATAAAAAAAAACCTGCTGTCGTTTGTCTTTTAGAAGAAAAAAAAAGATTTCAAGATTTTTTCCCCAGTATAATTCTGCGGGGTAATGCAGGGGTTTTGAAGTTTAATGTCAAGTTTCTATTTGAACATGTGAGGAGACAACACTATGGTGTCCACGGGAATGAGGTTCTTTAAGCACACAGTCTGAACCTTCAGCTAAGCTCTCTTGTGGTTCCCTCTTTTTCTCTCCAGGGTCCAGGCTGCTGCTCAGATTTTGTCATCTCCTTCCACTACATATACGGCGTTCAGCTGTATGTTTTGGAGTACTTGACGTATCATCTGAGACCATATGGTTACAAATACAGATTTAATCCGGATGAAAGAATTATATTGAAAACCACAACCGAGTCCACATGAAATGTTTGTATGTGCACCACAACTTCTGAACTAAGCTTCATAATTCAAGACCTTTTAAATTGAGTGGAGGTGTCGATTCCCTCCACTCCCAAGTTCATGATGCAAATTTAATTTAAACTTTGTTCATGTTGGGTCTGTTTTACTAAGCCATTACTTTTTATTTAATACATGTTCGGAAGAATCCATTTTTATGCATACTGCATTATTGTTGTAAAAGCCTTAAACTGCTTTTTTTTCTTTTCAATTTTATATTTTTTACAACCAAGTTGTTTTCCCTTGAATCAGTTTTGATTTCATTGCCAGGATATTGTCAGACCTTAAGATTTGAGTCCATGTTTTTTTGATTTTGATGAACAATTTGATGAAGATTTTAAAGCATTTTGTCATGACTTTGACTTGAGCATTAATGTATAAAAATTAAAAAATTAAAACTTTAATAAATGTGATTTTATTCATTGAAATACAAATGTTTATTTTGTTGAACCAATGTGTTCTAAGCTTCTGTTCCTTCTGGCATTTGTCTTGCCATTCAACATTTATCAAGCAATTAAAAGATTTTTCTCAAGTTTAACAAAAACAACCATCACTCAAATCAACATTGAACAACAGCTACAACATGTCAGTACCTTAATTGGGTTAAAAGGGATAGTTTGGGTGTAGTTTGGGTGTTGAGTAAATCCACGGCCATCCTCAGCAGTTCAAAATGAAGCAGGAGCACCGGCAGTGTGAACGTAGCCTGGGAGTCTGTTAGGAGGTCCATGTCTGCTCTCTATGACCTCATGACATGAAAGATTTCCTCCAGCATGACCTGGTGTGTTTGGTCCCAACATTTGTTCTTTGTTTGTTACTGTTCATCTAACAAACCATAAGACAAAAGGAACTTGGAGCGTCCTTTCTCTGAAAGCGTCCTTTCTCTGAACATTTGTAATGTGTCTTAGTGGGAAATATACAGTACTTATCACAAAAATACAAATGATAAAATAGACTCTAAGAAAGGCTCTTTGCCCCTCGGTATGTTTACCTGTCAGCGATGAGTCCGTTGTGGTTGGAGGAGAGCTGACCGTAGCCGGTTTAATCTCAATCTGGTGCAGCCGGCCAGTCGACGTCTGAGGTCCCACCATGGAGGTCAGCTTGGGGCCCTGCGGCCCCCTGCCCCCTGGGGAGGCAAACAGGATGTCGGTCAGCTGCTCCCTGGGCTCCACCAACAGGGTAGCATCAAACAGCCTGTCGTCGGCCGCACCTGACACATGGAACTGTGGACTCAGGGTGGTTGCTCCTACACCAACGCTCTATACTTTGAATTATGCCCTCTGTCTAGCAATCCTTAAAGTGTTACATCGACAGTCATGTGAGAGCACTAAGTGGGCTTGGCTCGCAACAAAGCACCCTCCTGCCATTACTCGCATTATCATTCAATTCAATTCAATTATTTTGTATAGCCCATAATCGCAAATTACAAATTTGCCTCAGAGGGCTTTACAGTCTGTACACATACAACATCCTCTGCCCCGAAACTTACCATCGGCACAGGAAAAACTCCCCAAAAAATGAAAAAACCCTTCCAAGAGGGAAAAAAGGGAAGAAACCTTAGGAAGAACGTCAGAGGAGGGATCCCACTCCCGGGATGGACAGACTACAATGGATGCCATGTGTACAGAATGAACAATGTATAATACATGCAACTCCTATGACAGAAATGATTCAAGTAATTGTAAGTAGTAAGCCAGGCGCACAGCAGGACCACTGCAGGGGCAACCACCATCAGATAGAACCACCATCCACAGAAGCCTGTGGGGAGGGACAGCACAGAGACTTTAGGAGAGTGTAATGTTGGTTTACGAGTACAGTAATATGATTAATATCTAAAATAATAATGATGATGATGATGATGGCAGCAGCAGGCGTCAGCATTGCCACGGTCGGTGTCAGGACCAGGGTCCCGAAGGAACCACGATCTACGAAGACCTGATAGGGGAGAAACCACAAAAAAAACTCCCGGAACGAAGCTGAATTAGTCATGTGCATTAATAAAACCTGAATTATGGTAGAACGAGAGCGTGAGAGAGGAGCTCGGTGTGTCCTAAGAATTCCCCCGGCATTCTAAGCCTATAGCAGCTTAACTAAGGGTTGGTCCGGGCTAACCTGAGCCAGCCCTAACTATAGGCAGAATCAAAGAGGAAAGTTTTAAGTTTTACTTTAAAAGAGCTGACCGAATCTGACCCCGGACTGAAAGTGGAACCTGGTTCCACAAAAGAGGAGCTTGATAACTGAAGGCTCTGGCCCCCAGCCTACTTTTTAAAACCATAGGAACAACAAGTAACCCAGCATCTATGGAGCGCAGCTGCCTTGTAGGTCAATAAGGTGTTACAAGCTCTTGAAGATACAACGGTGCCTCACCAGCAAGTGCCTTGTAGGTGAGGAGAAGTACCTTAAAATCTATTCTTGATTTAACAGGGAGCCAGTGCAGAGAAGTTAATACAGGAGTGATATGATCCCTTTTCTTAGTTCTTGTTAATACACGTGCTGCAGGATTCTGAATCAACTGGAGAGGCTTAAGAGATTTACAAGAGAAGCCTGATAACAAAGAATTACAGTAGTCCAGTTTGAAAGTGACAAACGCATGAACTAATTTTTCTCTTGGCTCATTGGCTGGAGAGATGAGGGGCAGAGATTTCTTTTGGAGACTAACACCATACTGAATCTGTTAGCAAGCCAAGCGATGTTGGGCTTAAGGCTACCCTCACTGACATCTATCCATTGAATGCATTGGTGAAGCCAAGATGCACCGATCGGTTTCCATTAGTTAACTAGGCCAAATCCTCCGGTTCTGTGAAGAGAAGCCGATTCAGAAGTGTTTAGAAACTTGGCATCTCTTCTGACCAGCAGGGGAAACTCATCCAGTTACAAATGGAGGGCCGGTTTTATGGACGTCTATTGTCTAAAATTAGTACTTTTGTCTTGATTTATTCCCTCAGTAAAAATTATGAACATGAGTTTATGCTCCCAATCTCTAGTCTCAAGTTTTTAATGGAATGGAACAAGTGCATACAAACGGAGCATTTCACAGAAGTCTTCCAGAGAACAGGCTGCTGTCTGTGGGGTGAGGTGAGGCTGACCGCCCGGTGCTGGAGGAGTCTGACGGTCCGTTAACCACACCTCACATCTCCCACACTTAAAAGCATATTAACTGCATTGAGGATGCAAAAGCATGAATCATTGCTAGTAGTAGTCGTTGCGGGCGAAACGACCGACGGGGGTGGGTAGTAGTCGTTGCGGGGGGGGTAGTAGTCGCGCGCGCTGTGTTCGCTGGTCGTGCACGGTAAAAGGACAAGAAAAACGCCTGGTGATGCGTAGATTAGAAAACAAGTCAGTTCTCAATGTGAAAAATAACATGCTGTATAGGCTATTTATGATGACATAGGTAGTACATGAGTGTTTCTTTAACTTATGTTGTCAGTGTGATTGGCTGCTTAACTGGTTAACTCTTAAATTCATCATATTTTTTCAGGCAGTGAGAGGACAGGCAATGATGCAGAGAGCACCAGGTCGAATAGAGAGAGGAGAAGCACAGAGGAGCCATGAACCCCAGAACGCGTGTTCAGGCAGGACCTGACGTGGAGGACAAGGAGGCCCTCTGGGCCCTTCTGTGAAAAGGAGATAGTTCTTAATCTGCAATTGTGTTGTTGTGTTGACATACTTTTCTTTACTGTTTTCTTAAATTTAATAAACTACTAACACATGTATTCATTGTCATTGATTGTATATGACTTTTACTGATAACATAATGCAATATAGCCAGGACAGCCTTACAGAGTCGCAACGCTTTGTGTTGCGTCGCTTCGCATCGCGTCGAGGTCTGTATGATCACAAAAAAAAGTTTACCCACCTCTAATTTTACCACTACAGCACTGTTTCCACCTGTGTCCAATCACCTGCACCTCCCTAGTGTATTTATGCCGTGTGTCTCATGTGTCACTTGTCGTGTCATTGTCAACCCCCCCCCTGGGACTTCTATGTGTTTTTGCCCCTTGGGCTTTTGTTTTGTTGGAGTTGATGACTATTAAAGTCTTTTTTCGTTAAACTCTGCATTTGAGTCCTACCTCCCACGCAACCCCTGACATAAATTCCCTGTGTCTTCTATGTTTTCAATCATTTGAGTGGGACTGCATTACATCATAAGATAAGGGGATCTCTATTCAGAGATATAATCAAATATACACTGTTTCCATCAGGGTTTATAAGAATCTGGTTTTCGGTAGCTGAGAATGAGCTGAGAATGAACATAGGGGGCAACAAACCAAACTCTGGCTCCAAACAGACCAAAGGGGGCAAAGTACTCCCCGCTGGATGGCATAAATAAATCCTAGTACACACAGATTTACAGTACTAGACACATTAGCACCCAACTAAACCATGCACAGATGATTAACTTAGACTCAGACTTCCACCTGTAGGCGGACTCGTCCCCACCAGAGATCAGTCCAATGAGGGTGGTGTCATCCACAAACTTCAAGAGCTTGACGGACTGGTGACTGGAGGTGCAGCTGTTGGTGTACAGGGAGAAGAGCAGAGGGGAAAGAACGTAGCCTTGGGGGGAACCGGTGCTGATGGTCCGAGAGGCTGAGACATGTTTCCCCAGCTTCACGTGCTGCTTCCTGTCAGACAGGAAGTCTGTGATCCACTTGCAGGTGTAGTCGGGCACGTGCAGCTGGGAGAGTTTGTCCTGCAGCAGAGACGGGATGATGGTGATGAAGGCAGAGCTGAAGTCCACGAACAGGATCCTGGCGTAGGTTCCTGGGGAGTCCAGATGCTGGAGGATGTAGTGGAGTGGCATGTTGACAGAATCGTCTACGTCTGTTGGCTCTGTAGGCGAACTGCAGGGGGTCCAAGAGGGGGTCGGTGAGGGTCTTCAGGTGGGTCAGGACTAACCGTTTAAAAGACTTTATGACTACAGAGGTCAGGGCTACAGGCCTGTAGTCATTGAACCCTGTGATCCTGGGCTTCTTGGGAACAGGGACGACGGTGGAGGCCTGAAGCAGGCTGGTATGTGGCATGTTTCCAGTGAGGTGTTGAAGATGTCAATGAACACCGGAGACAGTTGGTCAGCACAATGCTTCAGAGTGCGGGGAGAGACGGAGTCCGGGCAGGCTATCGTTTTGGGGGGGGCTGCACAGTCTGATCATAACATTCAGTGGAATCGTCATAACAAACAACCTGATATGTTTATTAGACATAATCATTTCATTTCTGGGGTCTGTTTCAAGTAGGAGGTTTAACAAACCCTAAACTCTGAGTTGATTTACCCTGAGATGGGAAACTCTAAGTTTTCGGTTTCAGAACAGCTGTTTAGAGTTGGTTTAATCAACTCGGAGTAGGCTGACTCAGAGTTGAGCGCGTGCACCACCACAGTATGAAGGCAGCACGAATGGAGCCACGGTACTAGGAATTTACCAGGGCAACCACCACAAACAATATATTCACCCTTATTGAGCTGGAAATATTAATGCAAGCGTACGACGAGTATGAATCCGTAATTAGAAAAAAAAGCAACACCGCTAATGCAGCAAAAGACAGAGAAACCGTGTGGGAGAAAATTGCTGTAAGTTCCAATATTGTGTTGTCAGTTAATATTTAATGTACACACTAATCATAATCCATACGTTTTACTAATTCCCAGTGGGAATTGCAGTACACACAGGCTTGAAATACACACCCATGCTCATATTTAGAATAATATCGCTGGTAAAAACTGGTTCAATGGTATTGAACCTACAATGTGTTTTATTCAGGTGCAACCTGTGGCTCTCCTCTTTAATGGCTTCACTGGTTTGTATCCAGGGAACAAAAACGTTTCAGAGCAACGCACACGTTTGTCACGGCTCTGCATACAGCAGCTTTACTAATATTCTCAACATCACCAATGTTGTAAAGGAAAATGCCGTTTGCAAAAAAAGTAATACATTGCACAAAGAATCTGCTCGTATGTGAGAGCATGTTCATGATGATTGACGTTTCTTATCTGAGGTAGGGTGAGGTTATGTACATATTTGATGGACTGTGAAGATAAACGATACAGTTCAAACAAGTAGTTATCTGGAAACGAACCCCTGGTGTGGTGGCAGGCGTGGTTAGGCTCGGCTACAGAGGTGACAGAGAGCGGGAGTGGCTCAGGGATCGGTGCCAGGTGGAGGCGTAATTGGCCTCAGCTGCAGTCAATGTCATGAATTGTGTGTCTCTCTGCACTTAAGCACTGGTGGCAAGACAGCAAGGGTGCCAAAAAGGCAGTCAAGACAAGGGATCCAGACGCTGGGAACAAAAAACACTGCTACGACCTTGATAAATAATACCATTAGAAATTCCACACTTGTGTCGTACTCCATCTACCCGGGATCCCAGAGAATCAACCACGTTACACCTGGTTAATATGAAATGATTATAACAGCCAAGGAAGCTACACAGTGTAATGTAACTGTTATAAATTATGAATTGTGCTGGGATAGTGTGGCCATGAAAAGGAATTGAGCTGGAGTGTCTCACACTGATAAGAGTGAGATAAGTCCTGGCTGTAGAGACACAACAAATGTGTTGGAGGACACCTGTAACTGAACTGAGGTATAAGAACCCCCTGGCCCTGTTGTGAAAGGAGGAAGGTTCTTGGCAGTCTACTGAGCATGTAGCTGTTGTGACCGTTTTTGCCTTGTAAGGAAATAATGGAGAAAGACATATTTGATTCAGAGCCTTTATTTGTATTTACTGATTGTTTGTGCAAAATCTTCCATCACAATTGGACTTCAGGTCTAGTGGGTCTAAATGGACCCCTGTTTGGGGGGGGCTGCAGAGTCTTATGACATTGCGTTGGATTGCCATAACAAACGACCTGTTAGCTTTGTGTGACATAATCATTTCATTCCTGGCTAATATGAAATGATAAGAACAGCCAAGGACGCTACATAGCACCTCAGGTCTAGTGGGTCTATTCGACCCCCTTTAGGACACATTTGATCCAGTGGTGATCTTAGGAACCTGAATTAACCGGGATGGCACTGACTCAGGGGCTGTGTCTCATCTTGCTGCATCCTACAGAGGACCCGGCCTTTGCGGTCAATGTGACATGTGCCCTTCAATGACCGCATAGGCTGAACCAAGTGGTCTCTCAAATAAGACGGTTTGGTCACTGTATCACATAAAAGAGTAACATTTTTAAATGTTAGTGAGAGGCAGTGGTTGTGGATGTGTGAAGAGCGAGCAGGCCGGGTAACCGATGCTGACGGCTGTATGGGAAGAGACTGCCAGTAAGTCTGCCTGTGGCCCACTGTCTGCAGACAGCTCTGCGTTAAGACAACACAGTTTGGACGTAGCTTCCTGCTGCCGTTAAACATATTTTGATAAGACCAACGGGCTTTTTACAGCACACGGCTGCACGGCCAGACGCATACTGTACACAAGCATGGCCCCGTGAAATGCTGCCAGGGGCTGAGTGGGAACCAAATTCTGTTCTGGAAATTTGACAATTTTGGGGAACCCTGTATTAACATGTTTATTACAATCATTTCTGCTAGCGCTCAGCCTGCTTGATATTTGCCAGAATTGCCTGAAACTGACCAAGCAGTATCTTTTCAACTGCCGTTCACAGACTTTTTCAAAATTAGTAAGATTCGAAAATGGAATATTTGGACAAATTACAACAGTAGCGTGTCGGGTCTAAATTGAAAAAACAGGAAGAAACAAAAATATTTTGGTCACACATTTAATTGTTTACGCTTCTTTCTCTCTGCTGGGCGAATCACATTGAATGGGATTCAACCATGACGAAATAGGCAAGACTTAATTCAGTCTCCGATTTTTGCTTTTGTTCTGTCTCGCTGACATGGCTCTGTTGTGATGTGCTGCTCTTTGGGGGGCTAGGATGGTCGGTTCCGACAGCTGTCGGTAGATTGTTACTCAAATCCTGGTTTCACTGACATTGCTGATGGTCGTCCTGGCATATACTAGAACTTTCAGATTGACCCTCTGAGGCCTGAACACAGGGTGAGTGGGAAGGGTGAGTGCAGAGCGTCTTCATGTACACAAAGGAGCTCTACAAGTGCAGATCCACATTCAGCCACATTCCACTGTTCAGCCACAAGAGGCACCACCATTGCTTCTTATATAAAACGTAAAAAAAGTAAAAATAAAACAATCAAGCTAGGGTAAAAAGTATCTGATGACACAGATCATGATAGAACTGTGGCTAAAAAATGGACTGGTTTAGATTTTCAAATCACTGTAATACGGGAAGAAACGTTGTGATCTCACCCGTTTAGTCACATGTTCTTAAATCAATAATTAACTTTTGTTTCTCCCTCATGTGACACTTTTTATTACTCAGTTTATGACACAGATACAAGATCTTTATCTGCTGATCACACAGGGAACCTTGTTCATATTTTAAAGGTTACTATTAGATCGTTATCTGGGGATTTTGGAGGCCGTCCTCTTTAACGGACCAGTGTAATAAAATTATTTTATTTTTTACACCTGTGCCTTTGTTTTTTGATATTTTATATCAGGTTGAATGCCAAATGTATCAATAAGTCAAGTCATTTTCTCCTTCCGCAGAAGTCGTTTTCAACACTGTGCAATGGGCCACTGGAGGATCACTCAAGACCAATGGCCATGAAGAAACATCTGAAAAGGAAAAATGCAAACTCTGAAGGGCCCTGGATAAGATTCTAACCCAGATGTAAACTCGAGTGGTTGTCATCTGGGAGTTCAGAGTTAGAAACCAACATGAAGACGCAGCAGTCGTTCTTCAAACTCCCAGAAAGCAGCAGATCTGCTCAGACTCCTATTAATTACTATTAGTACTGAGCCTTTTCTGTTTGCTGCTACCTTTATTTGCAGATTCAAGGATGCAGTGGTGGTTGGAAGAAAGAGTAAATGGTGAGCTCGAGGCAATACTGGTAAAGTAATGCTGTTTTAGTTACGCGATGCTGGCTGTGAGAAGGACAGAAAGTTTCAGAGATACGCACCAATATAGAATCCACTGTTAATGGAAGAACGCCTGTGCGCGTACAGTGTTTGGTGACGCACGATGTGTGGCGAGCTGCACTTACGGGAATCACACATGTTGGATCCAGCCGCGGGCGCGCTGCGTGTGGAGAGAACTGGAGCTCGTGGCTCAGCCTTTTTTCCAATAGAATAAATTGATTAGTTGATTAACATTATGAGCTTCATTGTGATCATTTTCAGAACAAGTAGTACCTGGTAGAGACACCTGCACCTGCGCAGTGGCCACTCATCGTTTCCGGCAGGTCAAACGGGAGGATGGGGCGCTTTACGTCTCGTTTAATATTTACCACCGGGATCATGATGGGATTTCTCTTCACTCGGTTTATGTTGGACGGGAACTTTTTAACAGAACAAGCCATTCACTTAGGGAGAAATGCCCAGCAGCAAGCCAAGGCGCACACGCAAACAGGTAGGCACGGATTCATATGTACAATCCAAAGCAGTTTTGTCATAATCGTTTTAATGTTACATTATTATGTGATGAATTGTATCATTTTTATTTACATTTTAGCCATATTTTGAAGCCACAATGTACGTTAGACTCCAGCCGTGCGTAACAGTGCGTGCGTAATGACCGCTGTTCCGCTGCTGCTGAAACACAAATGGAGAAACTGTTGTGTAATGATTGGTACACCTGGGTCATTTTCATTTAAAGAAAGCGTCTGATATGTAATATAATCTCAATCTGGTATGTCGAGTTTTATGAGTACCCTAAATGTAGCTCACAAAGGGAGCGTGGGTGATTTGTTTCTCGCACGCTGTGTGTCATATCAGGTTGGATCCAAAACATTGAAGTGAAAATGAAAGGCCGATGACAAACCCCCACAACTGGTTAAACCTCCTCCACTAGTTATTCTCAAACAAATGATGTCTAGGCAAAGGTGTGTATTGTTGGGGCTCAGCTCAGTAAAGCAACGAGATACAGAACATGGAGGAGATCCTCAGTCCCGTCACGTTACAACTACAGGGACGAGGAAACAGCTGAGGTTGAACGAGTGCGCATAGGGCTGTTACTAGTTTGTCGTAAAAGCCCCCCCTCCTGTAGAGGGGGTAAGCTAATCAGAAGCTATTCAATCAAACTGATTTTATTGCTGAAATGCCTCATGTGCCAATTACAACATTTCTGGGAATTATTCTTTGGTCGCGTCATTCTGTCAGGGATGTGTGGGGGAAGCACGACTCAAACGCAGACTTCTCCGGAAACAAAATACTTTTATAGTGGAACAATTTACAAATCTATACTGGAATAATAACCGCCATGTTAAATTCCTTGTATGTATAATATATTTTGGCAATAAAGGTTCCTGATTCCTAAATAAGGACATCTGGTCTCCTTTTTTCTTTATCACGGTATAATTCACCCTTACCTTAATATCTTACCTATTGTAAGGTACTTTTACTATTAATATTTCATGAAGATATGTTTCTATTTTCCTATTAATTCCTATATTTTTGTAAAGGTAAGCAGATTCCAAAACAGTATCTTTTGATCACGGTAGTGAAACCGATATATGGACTTATTTCTAATCCTGAATCCAGGTACACTCTTGATAACAGTGAAGTGCTGTTCTGATCAACCGAAGGTTAGGTGTAAGATGACCATGCAAAGTATTTTAATAACTTGTTCTCCATTTTCTCCAGTTGAACACAACAGCCAATTGGGTAATTCTTCTAGAACAACACGGATCTTGTGCTGGATCATGACTGGGCCCAAGAACTTGGAGTCCCGGACCAAGCACATCAGGGAAACGTGGGCCAAGCGCTGCAACAAAGTGTTGTACATGAGCTCTGTTGAAACCGACTTCCCCACTGTGAAGCTGAACGTGAGTGAGGGGAGGGAGAACCTGTACTGGAAGACCATCCGAGCCTTTCAGTACATCCACCAGCACCACCTGGATGAAGCGGACTGGTTCGTAAAAGCAGACGATGACACATTCATGGTCATAGAAAATCTACGCTACACCTTGTCCAGTTTGGATCCAGAAAAGCCATTCTATCTGGGCAGGAGGTTTACCCCCTTCATCAGGCAAGGCTACATGAGTGGAGGAGCAGGTTATGTCCTCAGTAAGGAAGCACTGAGGAGATTTGTCAAAGGGTTCGATAGTGGGAATTGTACCCACTTCTCCACCTTAGAGGACATGGCTCTGGGAAAATGTATGGAGACGATGAAGGTGGAGCCAGCCGACTCCAGGGACGTTAAGGGGAGACAAACATTTCATCCCTATCCTCCAGACCACTACCTGGTCAGGCAGCCCCCACGGCCAAGGCCTTGGTATCTGCTTTACGATCACTATGCTCCTGTAGAGGTATGCAACACAACACACATGCTCCTGTTTATAATATGGATATACACTAAAAATACCAGTTACAACTTTTCCTTAAAGGGAGTTCACTTGAATTGATCCTGCACCTCTCAATTTACACTGAGCATATAAAAATTATTTTTATGTAGAAAATAAAGCCGTGGGAGAGCCAAGTAGTACATTCAGAGTTTGTGTCACAGACCTGCCTTTGCAATTCCATCCATCCATCTTCAACCGCTTATCCGGGGTCGGGTCGCGGGGGCAACAGCTCCAGCAGGGGACCCCAAACTTCCCTTTCCCGGGCCACATCTACCAGCTCTGACTGGGGGATCCCAAGGCGTTCCCAGGCCAGTGCAGAGATATAATCTCTCCACCTAGTCCTGGGTCTTCCCCGGGGCCTCTTCCCAGCTGGCCGTGCCTGAAACACCTCCCTAGGGAGGCGCCCAGGGGGCATCCTCACCAGATGCCCAAACCACCTCAACTGGCTCCTTTCGACGCAAAGGAGCAGCGGCTCTACTCCGAGCTCCTCGCGAATGGCTGAGCTTCTCACCCTATCCCTAAGGGAGACGCCAGCCACTCTCCTGAGGAAACCCATTTCGGCCGCTTGTACCCGTGACCTAGTTCTTTCGGTCATGACCCATCCTTCATGACCATAGGTGAGGGTAGGAACGAAGATTGACCGGTAGATCGAGAGCTTTGCCTTCCGGCTCAGCTCTCTTTTCGTCACAACGGTGCGGTAAAGCGAGTGCAATACCGCCCCCGCTGCTCCGATTCTCCGGCCAAACTCACACTCCATCTTCCCCTCACTCGTGAACAAGACCCCGAGGTACTTGAACTCCTTCACTTGGGGTAAGGACACATTCCCTACCTGGAGTAGGCAATCCATCGGTTTCCTGCTGAGAACCATGGCCTCAGATTTAGAGGTGCTAATCCTCATCCCGACCGCTTCACACTCGACTGCGAAACGCTCCAGTGAGAGTTGGAGGTCACAGACGGAAGATGCCATCAGGACCACATCATCTGCAAAAAGCAGCGATGAGATCCGCAGCCCCCCGAACTGTAGACCCTCCTCCCCCCGACTACGCCTCGATATCCTGTCCATGAAGACCACAAACAAGATTGGTGACAAGGCGCAGCCCTGGCGAAGGCCAACCCCCACCGGAAACGCCTTCGACTTACTGCCGAGCACCCGAACACAGCTCTCGCTTTGGGCGTACAAGGATTGGATGGCCCCAAGCAAGGACCCCCTCACCCCGTACTCCCGCAGCACCTCCCACAGTATCTCTCGGGGGACCCGGTCATACGCCTTCTCCAAGTCCACAAAACACATGTAGACTGGTTGAGCATACTCCCAAGCCCCCTCTATGATCCTGGAAAGAGTGAAGAGCTGGTCCGTTGTTCCACGACCAGGACGAAAACCGCATTGTTCCTCTTCAATCCTTGGTTCGACTATCGGCCGAACCCTCCTTTCCAGCACCTTAGAGTAGACTTTACCCGGGAGGCTGAGTAGTGTGATACCCCTGTAATTGGCACACACTCTCTGGTCCCCCTTTTTAAAGAGGGGTACCACCACCCCGATCTGCCACTCTTTTGGCACTGTCCCAGACTTCCACGCAATGTTGAAGAGGCGTGTCATCCAAGACAACCCCCCAACACCCATTGCTTTTAGCATCTCTGGACGGATCTCATCAATCCCCGGGGCTTTGCCACTGCGGAGTTGTTTGACTACCTCAGTGACTTCCACCAGGCTAATTGACGATGATCCCTCCTCCGCCTCCAGCTCCGCCTCCACCAAAGAGGGCGTAGTAGTTGGATTCAGGAGTTCCTCAAAGTGTTCCTTCCACCGCCCGATAACCTCCTCAGTCGCGGTCAACAGGGTCCCATCCTTACTGTACACAGCTTGGATGGTTCCCCGTTTCCCCCTCCTGAGGTGCCGGATGGTCTTCCAAAAACACTTTGGTGCCGACCGAAAGTCCTTCTCCATAGTTACCCCGAACTCCTCCCATACTCGCTGCTTTGCCTCCATCACGGCAGAGGCTGCTGCCCTTCGAGCCTGTCGGTACACTGCAACTGCCTCTGGAGTCCCACCGGATATCATAACCCGGAAGGCCTCCTTCTTCAGTCGGACGGCTTCCCTGACCACCGGTGTCCACCACGGAGTTCGAGGGTTACCGCCCCTTGATGCACCTAAGACCCATGCACCTATTTTTATTAACCACTACCGTCTCATTGAAAAAACCTAAGGTAGCACAATATTGTGGGAAGAATTTAATGTTGACATGGAACGTACAATTATGGAGAATTGTCCAAAATGATTGCTTTAGTCTGAGGATTGGTTGCTGTAAAAGTGTACAGCAATGTTAGTGGCTCTGTCATGGTGTACTTGGCTCTGGAGATCCTTTGAGGTAACATGCTACATTACATTTTAGAAGCATTACTTTTATCTCAGCTTTGCTATATTTTCCCGTGTGTGTCATGGAGGGAGGCGGGCAAAGTTGGTCTGCATGTGCAGTTGCGCTTTGGGGGGCAGTACAAGACCAGGCATTATCAAACCCCTGGAGGGGGCAATTTAGGCCACAGGTGCTTCAACGTTGTTCAGTCATTCGCTTTTATCAGTCTTGATTTAAATGGCCTATATATTGGTATAAGCAAGCTGTTTAATCCAATAGGTTGTTGATCTCTGTAACCGGGATCCTCTTCACACTGTAAAGAAAAAAGGTACAGCGTAGTGTAAACAAAGTCACCGGAACAGTTAATGTCATTCAGACACTTTTAGTTCCCCAAAAGGCTGTTGGTTGTACCTTGTAGCATGACATCACCTTAAGGCCTCTTCAGAACCCGGTGCTGTTAATCTGCTGCACCTGATCCCCCATCTTCGTCCTGTTGATGATTTCCCTTCATAATCGTCCTCATCAGTACAGTCCTCACCTTCTCCCTGTTTCCTGATCCTTCCTCTTCCCCTGAGGAGGATTTTTACATCAGGCGTGGTCCAGGGTTCTCCAGTCACATGTTTGCACTACGCAACTACGCTACGCTGAATGTCACATTTTTGAGAAACACGTACACTCCTGCAGGGTACCGGGTTCTCATCACAGAAGTAGATATAACCGACGTCAGATGGGCATCACTGAATACTTTCCACACATTTGGCTCAAAACACAGAGTTTACTGTATAACAAAGACATTGGTACCAAAAATACAAATATAATTTTATGTCTACTGAGAGTAGACATAAAAAACAAAGCAACAAAACCAACATCAACAATAAGTTGCCAGTTCCTTCATCAAAGTGGGCCACAACGTTAATACCAAAGAAGCAAGTTTCAAAGGAAGAAAAGCACATCATGCACATACCTGACATATATACCCCTAGCCCCATATAAATGGTGTACGTAGTGCCTGGACTTTTAGCCCATTTAGATTTTATCCATTGGACACCTCAATAAATGACCACATTGTATGCAACACCTTTGATGTAGTGTCAATTAAATCAGAAATAAATTAACATAGAAAATATTAAAGCCAGGCTTTAATATAAGTCAAAACCACCTTTGTTGAAAGTTTACGTCAACTAACTTGTGTATTTGAGCCCCCCTAATATAATAGTTGGGGAAACTCAGAGTGAAGAATGGGCTCTTATGGCCATTCAGACTACCATCAAGAAAATATGCTCTCATAATTAAAAAAAACCCTCTGTGCTGTAGTCTCTTGTGTTCTTAAAAAACACCATCTCAAGTTTTTGTTTTCCCAATGCATTTTAAAGTTTCATGTCAAGTTTCTGTTTGAACATGTGAGGAGACAACACTATGGTGTGCAGGAGAAGGCTACTGTGTCCAAGGGAATGCTGTTGTTAATATGGAGGTTTGGCTTCTTGTTGCTTAAGCACACAGTCTGAACCTTCAGCTAAGCTCTCTTGTGGTTCCCTCTTTTTCTCTCCAGGGTCCAGGCTGCTGCTCAGATTTTGTCATCTCCTTCCACTACATATACGGCGTTCAGCTGTATGTTTTGGAGTACTTGACGTATCATCTGAGACCATATGGATACAAATACAGATTTAATCCGGATGAAAGAATTATATTGAAAACCACAACCGAGTCCACATGAAATGTTTTTATGTGCACCACAACTTCTGAACTAATTCAAGAAGGTTCCAGAGACAAGCTTAATTTTCTCTCTATAATGTTTGATTCTCCCTAACCACGACGTTATAATTCAAGATCTTTAAGTTGAGTGGAGGTGTTGATTCCCTCCACTCCAAGTTGTTCATGTTTGGGGGCGTGAGTGGGTCTATTTTACTAAGACATTATTTTGTATTTAATACATGTTAGGAAGAATCCGATGCAAAGTGCATAATTGTTGCAAATGCCTTAAACTGTGTTTTTAATGGGAAAATATAATGTTCTTTCTGTTCAATGTTATATTTTTTACAACCAAATTGTTCCCAGTTGAATCAGTTTTGATTCAAACTTTCATTGCCAGGATATTGCTAAAAACAAGTTTGTACTGTATATACATGAATAATGCATAATAATAATAATAATAATAATAAACTATTAGCTTTGAGACTATGTTTTTGAGTCCTGAAAATTCGACTTTAGACCAAAGATTTTAAAACTGATTTCACAAAGAGTCATTGTGTCATGACTTCTACTTGCAGAAAATGACTTGCGCATAATGTATAAAAATGGAAACTCTTTAAGAAATTATATTTTATTTGTTGAATTAACATATTCTAAGCTACTGTTGCTTATGACATTTCAAAATTCTTTACAAATCAAATGTGCCTGTCCATACAACACTTATAAGAGATTACAAGATTTTTCTTAAGGTTAACAAAACTATCCCTTGAGTAATGAATATAGCTACAACATGTGAGTGTACCTTAATTGGGTTAAAAGGGATACAGGAGCAAAGCATCTGTTAAGTGGACCAGCAGAATGTATTTTCGTAGCCCAACGAAGCACAACGCGTATTGCTTTGCTCACATGCCCGTTTCCCAGAGAGTGTGCCAATCACTTTCTGCTGTAGGTAATATACCGATGATGGATGAGTACCTTATACGAGCCCACTTCAAAACATCCAATCGATCGCTTTAATAACACAGATTATACCTAGGTGTACACATGCCCTTAAATGCACTGCTGTTTTAGAGAAACGCCTACAAACAGTGACCAAAAAATACAATAGCGAGACATGAGAATTTAGTACCCTAGAAGAAGAAAAAAGAAAGTTTTGTACATTGTTAGGTCCATAAACTGTAACAGCAATATACATTGCAACTATATTCTCATGTCAGGTAAAAGGTCCACAAATCTGAAGTTTCGCCCTGTTCTTTCTTTATAGAGTCATGACATTATTCTTACTGGCACATATATCATAACTGACTGTCCATAATCCAGAACAAAGTTGCATTACTGAGAGCACAAGCCGTGGTCCTGCCAGGCGGATGGAATGTGCTGATTTTATGACCGGTGAGAATGTGTGTTCTTTGGCGTGTGTTTCCTTGTTGCTGTTGCCATGGTTGCCATGTTTGGCAACAGTAATCCTTCTCACCTTCAATACACACACACAAAAAATGTCATTGCCCCAGTATATTATACATAACTGAATTGGTATTATCTTTTTCCCATTATTATGTCAGTAGCAAGGACTTCAAACACGTTTAGTTTTTCTAAAAAAATGTATATATCATCATATACATATGTTTGTCTCCCAAGCTGTTTCCCATTTTAATGTTTAGATAAAAAGAACTATTGCTTCATATTAGAAAATACTGTTATTTTCTTTCTGACAAATGGTAAGAGATCCATGCACTTTCATATTTGTCTCACACAGATAAACATGAAATATTTTGTGGTAAAACTGGCATGAAAAATCTGCCTCTCCGGTTGGTATCCAAACAGAGGAAGCAGACTCTTGCTTTAACAATTAAAATTTACTGATTCATTTTCAGTTGTGTGATCAGCCAGATCAACCAAATGAAAGGCACATTTAAATTAGTGGCATCAGGGTGGCATATTGAACCATGCATATAAGAGCAGATATATGTGCAGCAGTTCAAAGTGAAGCGGGAGCACCGGCAGTGTGAACGTGGCCTGGGAGTCTGTTAGGAGGCCCACGCCTGAGCTCTATGACCTCATGACCTGCAGCAGTCCACAGAGGGGGTGTTGTTCCGTCCCTCGGAGACGGTGATGGAGTATGTTGGTCATACACGCCCCATTTTCCCTGAGCACAGCCCGTTACGTGTAGACGCAGGAACTCCTGCAGCTGGCTTCGGTTTCAAAGTTGTTGCCGTTGCCCTGACAACCGCCGTACCAGAACTGAGCGCAGGCGTTGGCCTCGGGGTCGTAGTACCACTTGACCACGTACTGCCGACAGGAACCCGGGTCCAGAGTCTGACTGCACCCCTCACCTGAGAGGACAAGAAGGGTGCAACACCTCACAGCAGGTCACAGTTTCAACATACGTGAAGCCGGTGATGAGATGAGCAGCCACATGCTGAACCCCCCGCGCTGACCGAGGCCCTGTTTAGACCTGACTTTGAGGGCCGGGCATTAGAATGCGTGTCAAGATATCGTCCATGATCGGATCTAAATAATGAACATGCACTCAAGTACGTCCCAACACTGAATCTGTTCTCGTTATTTACATTTACAAATAATTATAAAGACTATGTGGACATGGTATCTCGAATTCTTGGACAAAAGGGGGCACAAAAGCAAAAGAAAGATTTCCTCCAGCATGACCTTGTGTGTTTGGTTCCAACATTTGTTTGGCCTTATGTGTTGCAAAACCATCTTTTTTGTAATGTGTCTTCGGAAATATACTTATCACAAAAATCCAAACGATAAAATAGACTCTAAGAAAGGCTCTTTGCCCCTTGGTATGTTTACCTGTCAGCGATGAGTCTGTCGTGGTTGGAGGAGAGCTGACCGGAGCCAGTTTAATCTCAATCTGGTGCAGCCGGCCAGTCGACGTCTGAGGTCCCACCATGGAGGTCAGCCTGGGGCCCTGCGGCCCCCTGCCCCCTGGGGAGGCAAACAGGATGTCGGTCAGCTGCTCCCTGGGCTCCACCAACAGGGTAGCATCAAACAGGCTCTCGTCGGCCGCACCTGACACATGGAACTGTGGACTCAGGGTGGTTGCTGCCTCCACTGGGAGTTCAAGCTGGGAAGCAGAGTTCAGAGCAGACACTTTTATTCAATGAAGATTTTAGGTCTTCTGTCAATAAAAAGCACTCGCACTTTTTTGCTCAATTACTGATGGACGCCCGGAACACTCTACACTCTACAAAGCTCTAGACGTTGAATAATGTCTGTCTAGCAATCTTTAAAGTTTTACATTCACAGTCAGGGTTGTCGGCTTTTAAAGGCAATTGAGCCGGGGAGAGGCGCCAGTTTTGAATGTCAACTTTACAAGCTACACCTAACAAATCTGACATATTGTGCATTTGAGCAATGTTATCATTTGAAGAAAAATGAGATCAGCATTCCAACATGCTCGATTGAAATGTTCTCATGATTGTTTAGGTCGATGATGATTATGTTAGTTTTGTGATTTAGCATGCTAACATTTGCTAATTAGCACAAAACAAAAAATGATAGTGTTGGAGGTAAAAATATATTGATTCACGAGTTCCACTAAGCACGTGGAGTGTGTCCACAATGTTAAAGGGGAGGTTCAGCTTAGTGGAATACTACCTCTATTACCCTGATACTGCTGCCTCATGTCCAGAACATGATGTCACTGGACCACAACCTTTGCAAATAAGTCACACATGAAGAAACTGGCCGCCCCTATTGTAGTAGGCCCGTATGAAGACTCATTATTGTCAAATAATAAGCAACCTTCTGACTTGAATTGAATATTTTACTGAAGACTGCGGTCGACAGTGTTTTTAATGTATAATTTTAAAAACAATGATAAAAGCAGCCTTACTTGGATACTTTCCTCAATTGGGAACTCCTCGGAGTGGCTTTCTGCTGGGTGTATTTCCACAGGTGGAGAATCGGAGTTCTGTACAGATGTCATTCTGTCATCCGGCTCACAAATGTGATTCAGTATTTTGCCTTCCAGAGCTGTACCAAAACAAATAATGACATTGTTCTGTCAAGCGGTACAGGTTGTACTTAACCCAGAATAAGACGCTTTAATGCGTATTTATAATACGGGGAGATGAAATCCATCGTTGTGATTGGTTGAGACTGAGTCACAGGTCACCTATTTTTGTCTAGGCTACCGAAATGCGATTCACAACGGTTGCTGGCTAATACAATTTTGTACTGAAAGGCAGCGATTTACTTACTATTTATAATTTCGCTGGTAACCGTATTATAAAAGCAAAAGCATGAGGCAGTACTTTATTGTCTAATTATGTAACTCAAACTGTTACATATTTGGACGATAAAGTACAGCCTCTCGTACCTTATTGCTTAAGTAAACCATACATGCATTATACACACACACACACACACACACACACACACACACACACACACACTATACATGCAATAGACAAATGGACTGGTACGTGCTATTCACCACATGCCTACACTAATGGCTACCGTGCCACCTGTCCATCAGGACAATGTAACTACCACTAGGAACAGCAATTCTGGAGCAATTTGCAATTAAGTGTCCTGCCCAAGGACATGGACTAGCGAAGGCTGGAATTGAACCGCCAATCCTGTGATCTGCTCTAGACATCTCCTTCAGCCACCGACTAATTCACCTTCCTTCCTGCTGCTGTCAGGCTGCACAACCGCTCTGCTCCATGTGAACCCAAAACAGACTGTGTTGCTATTGTTTGAGACAATGTGCATCATGTACTAGGGAGTGCCCTGAAGTCATCTATGATGTAGACATGCCCTTTATCGGGATCGGAGGCAATGACTCCTTCATAGAGAGGGTCGGTCCTGCTCACAACACCTATTACAAACATCTCAACCCCCTCCACATGAGCGTCCGTTGCCGTCTCTTCAAACTGCAGCTCCTCCTGGGAGTCGGCCTGCACGTCCATCAAAGCCACAGCCACATTCCTCACGCCGGGGCACGAGGCTCGAAACAGCTGGTTGGCTCTATGGATGGCACTGCCCAGGAAGGAGCCCCCGCCGAGGTTTGGCATGTTTCCGGACGGCGGCCTTGAAGTCGTCCTGGGTGGACTGCTGTTGCAGACTGACTACCACCGACTTTCACTTGCTTCTCTAAATTCCCTGTGTCTACTTTTATGTTTTTAATTATTTTAGTGGACTGCATTATATCATAAGATAAGGGGATCTTTTATCAGAAATATAATCAAATATACACTTCCATCAGTGTATTTATATAACTCTTATTTTTGTTAGCTGAGAATGAGCCCTCCATATGAACATAGGGGGCAACAAACCAAACACTGGCTCCGAAGAGAGCAAAGGGGGCAAAGTATTGTCCGCTGGATGTACACACACATTTACAGTACTACACACATTAGCACCCAAATAAGAACCATGCAAAGATGATTAACTTAACATGTACTGATGAGAAACACAATAAAATGTCAAATTTACCACATATTTCTCTTATAATCCTGACCACTTCTTCTCTCTGTGTACGGAAAACAAACATGGAAAAAATTAAGCTTTCCCTTTTAGTGTAGATAACACCGTCATTTGTGCCAGTCTCTTTACTCACTGTGAGTCCTCGTTCTCCCTTTTCTCCAGGTCTCCCCTGTAAAACCACAGTCATGAGGAAGGAAACTACATTCTCGTATTTCGGAAAAACTGTTGTTGATTCATTCTGTTGCACTTTATTTCTGATTTAAAACAAAACTAAATTATTTTAAAAGTTTTGTTGATTCAAATTCACGAAGTTTCGAGAACATCATCATGTTTGCCAAGTCTCTGTGCATTGCACTTTGTGATGCCAGTGGTTTCCACCAAAATGTTTTCACTTTGGGAAAGTATAGAAACTTATTTAGTGTATTTAAGTTAAAAAAAGGGTGGTGAATGGTCATAATTTTGTTCAATAATATTAGGATAGTACAAATAAACAGCACACAAAGTGTTATTAACAACTAAACCATTTGCATGAGGCTGGCGTTTGCAAACACTGGCGAGCCATTTGTATAGATTAAAAAAATATTTGATATACAGTAAAGAGGACCTTAATGAGTATAGGACCAGTCGATCCCTATGGTGATAAATTGATGATGGCATAAGCCTGACAACGCTCATTGGACTCTAGGAATGTCAAAATTACCCTTATTTAAACGTTCCATTCCTATTAAATAAAGAGCGCATTTAGGAAAATAAACGTGACCAAAAAACGGGAACAAATTATAACAGTAAACCAAACAATAAGAACCGTTATCATGGTTATTTTTTTATGTTTATTTTAACCATGTAAAGCGTCTTTGAGTATTTTGAAAAGCACTATATAAATACAATGCATTATTATTATTATTCATTATTATTATCATTGGACAAATTGTGCGATTAGGCAAGTTACCATAGGTCCAGTAGATCCCGGTTCCCCATCATTTCCACTGTCTCCTTTCTTTCCCCGATCTCCAGGTCTGCCTCTGTTACCCTGTGTGTGTGGAGGCACTCTTTATTACAAAACATTAGCAGCACTGGTAGTCAGAGGAAAATACGTAAAGGCCATGCAACTATTGGCACATACAGTAGCTGTACTGGAAGTACCTTCTCTCCTGGAAGAACGTCCCCTGGTGGCCCCCGAGGGCCCACTGGCCCCTGAAACCCAGGTTCTCCCTAAAAAGAAAGATGGATGAATCGGTAAGCACCACAAGAGTATTATTCGTATTATCCTCACATCTTCAAGCTTCGTCCATTGAGTGATTGAGTAATTTGATTAAGTTGAGACAGTGGTCATCCTTGCAAGACAAGCTAATGGATCAACAGGCTCAGGTCCAACCCAAGAAAGTACCCAACCAATTAATGCGTTCCCATTGCCTTAAAGTACATGGTGTACCAGTCTCATCAAGTGTTATTATTGTCTACCTTTGGACCCTGGATGCCTTCTCCATGAGGCCCCAACAGGCCTGGTGGACCAGGCGGCCCTGTAGAGCCCTGAGGAGACAAGACAACACAAGTTATCAGGCCAATAGCATGATGGAAAGAGGAAATGGTTTATAAGAACAATAGAAACAGGCTTGTGTAACTCCCCTTTTATACTGTAGATACGCATACACACTGACCTTTGGTCCATAAAGTCCAATCCCTGGAGGACCAGATGGCCCCGGCACACCCGACAAGCCTCTGTCCCCCTTACACACAGACAAAACAAACTTGCACTAAAATGGCATATCCATCTTATCTATCCAACATATGTTATAACATTTTGTTTGTTCCTCGTCAACTATTTTCCTTTCCATGGCCCCAACACTAAACACAGGTTATCAGTCTCTGCTCCAATCAGGAATCACACGGACTGCTTTGAGTTTTACAACCTCACCTTGGGTCCAGGCAGACCTTTCCCTTCCGGTCCCATTTCTCCTTGCAGTCCTGGTAAGCCAGGAAGCCCCTGATGGTCACAGGAAATATTGTTCATTTCCAAGCATGTCTTTCTTCTACTTACCTAAACACAAACCATTCACCCCCCTCATGCTCATGATTGACATACAACCACTAAATGAGAACAGTCCAATGTTTTGCATTGAATATGAGCATCCTTTGATTGCACTGCTCACTTTGAATGACTTTTTCCTCTCACCTGTGGTCCTGGGAAGCCATCCCCCTTCATTCCTGGTGGGCCCAAAGGGCCAGTATTTCCTTTGCTACCCTGACAGAGAAACGGCAGAGCAGCTCAAATAGTGAGTGACTACCAGTAGAGTGTTGTACCTATACATTAGAACAAATACAGATTACCAGTAGGGGGTTTTATTGCAGAGATTCTGTATCTTTACAAATAGGGTGAAAATATTGGGAGCTTGTTACCTTCGGCCCAGTGATTCCTACACCGGGTTCTCCAACAGGTCCAGCTGGTCCTATGGGACCAGGATCTCCCTGTTATTTGGACAGTTAACCCACTATTAAAGCTCATAATATACACACAATAAATGTTATACATTTACTGTATAGGTCCCCTACAAATTCTGTTGTGTGTTGTGTGTCAAGTGAAATGAACAACGTTGTGGTAAACAGATAAGATTGCTTTAAAGAGGTGTTAAGGTGTGTGTTACACAACTTCTAAAAGGTTTCTTATTTTTTTGTACATTTGACACACTAATGGTTTGGATCAAACTAATTTTAATATTGGAGAAAAATGACCATTGTGTATTGTAAACCTGTCAGTTAACTCCCTGCTGGGCGTCAGCTCCAGAGTGCTGCAGCTATGATTCATTTTTTGAGGTTGATTGTGGCTCAGTAGTAGAGTGGGGTCGCCCTTCGATCAGAGGATTGCCTGTTCGATCAAAACGCTCCGCAAGTCCATCACGATGTGTCCTTGACCCACATACTTAATGCCAAAAATGTCTTACTTAATTTTTACGTTTTTTTGCTAAAATAGCATAAGTGACAGAATTAAATATAGCATATATTTTTCATCTTTAATCCTTAATGTTTTAAATGTATACATTTTAACATGACAGTCTGAACACTCTAAACCCTGAGAGAGTTAGCGGAGTCCGTGTTGGGTTCACAGCGCAATGTGAACTAGTGTCCTGCCTGATGACGTTTAGTCCTCGCAAAAGACACTTTTTAGAAACCTACATGTCAAAGCTTCAAAACTCACGGGAGGGGCATTTTCTGATGTATTTTCTATTGTAGAACAAAATGTAAAAAAGAACACAAAATAAACCCCACAGAATTTGAGACAAAGGAACCAGAGAGAAAAGATGCTGACTCTGAGTTGTAGAATGTATTGCTGCAGCCAAAGATACCTTACTACATCTCTCTGTTGCTGAATAATTTGAGAGTTAGCATCATCTTTAGCAACAATTTTGGCTCAGGCTCACTTAAAGGTGGCCTGACCTTTACAGTTATGCAACAACGCAACACTAAATATATGTTCTGTTTTATTTTTTATTTGTTGTTGTTGAAGACGACAGGGCACCGTTAAGTTGGTCTCACACAACAAAAGAGGTGAAAAAAGGTAACATTTTCTGCAACAATCTTGCACAGAGATGACTCAGACAACCTTGGCCCAGACACCAGTTGGAGGGGTTGGAGCTACATTATATCTTGCACGTTTAATTGCCGTATTTTTTAGTTGTTTGTTTTTTATTGTAGTTGCAGTAATGATTACTTTTTCCTTTGCAACATAATCCTTGACATTGCTGGACAAAGGGCAGGAACATTGCTTTCCATTCATTCGGAGCGCACACAAAACTTTTGTTTCTAATCCCTCATCATACACAAAAAGTATATACACACGATGACAGTGAGTGCACAGGGTTAAACTTGATGCGGGTGCAGTTTGCGTAGACATTTAAGACTAAGCTCAATAATCCATTTTTTTTATTATTACTTTCTCTTCCAATTGAGTTTGGTTAAATTAATTTTTCTTTTTTTTTGCTTTTTACTGTCCGTGTTTCTTTCTTTGTCGAACTCATTCTAATGTCAATTGTCACTTAGTCACTGGTGTGAAGTCATCAGTCAGGGTGTCTGTTCATGTACGTGTGTTTGCATTAACTGATTTCCTCTGTGTCATTACCTTTGCTCCTGGTAAGCCACGCCCAGCCGTTCCAGGTAGGCCCACCATTCCCGGACTCCCCGGCTCTCCCTGAACAAATGCGTCAGTGAGAAAAGGTCAAGCTACCAGCACATAAAAGCCTGTGTCAAGAAAAACCATGTACGGGATGTAAATATTTGCACGTCCATTTCCTCTTTGTAGCTTAAAGTAAAAGGCTTCTATCAGTACAGGTTAACTTTGTACCCGTTTTAGTTTTGTTTTTTATCTTTGTCTTTTTCCTGTTTATTCGTTAAAAAAATAAACTGTATGTAAAGTATGTGGAGAGCAATAGAAAAACTGCAGTCAAATTCCTATGGGCTATGGTAACTTACCTATTGAATTAATTTGAACTGAATTGAATTTTAGCCAAAATAGAGTACCTTTTGTAACATATGGGCACACCAATGAACTACTGTAATGTCCTGCAGTCTTGTTTTTACATTGAATACATTATGTATGGAACATGGGAGTTTCTAGTTGAAGACTATTTGGCCCATGAGCCCTTGACATTTTCCAATTTGGGCCAGCCCCAGTCAATGCGCTTGAACATGACTTGAAGAAGTTTCCTTCTGTCACTCACTGGACTCACTGGAGCTTCAAACCTCTTAAACACAACCTTATCTTAACCGCTGTTTCTGTGGAAGCTGTGAGAGCTGTGTTAGATCCAGTGTTGGATTTCTCACATACCTACAAGGGCAGTTGTTTGATCAAATGAAGCTCGGGCGGTCGTACCACAGTCTGTTGGGACTTGGCTTGCGGACTGGAGGCTGATCAGTACTGTCCCGCACGGACCAAGAACAAAGTGCAGACTGGTAGCACGTCCATGTCCATGAGCAACATACCAAACCCCTAACTTCTCGGTGGGCAACCCACTGCCGTCGTTTATGTGTAAAATAGGAACTAGGGGTGAAAGAATTGAATGTCCCTTTGGGGATTACTAAAGTAAACCTTCTTCTGCTACTACCTAGCCTAACCTATTCAACAAACCTTAGCTCCAGCCGGTCCAACGGGGCCCGGAGACCCTGGAAGTCCCCTTGGCCCTCGGTCCCCTCTTTCTCCCTGAGGAGAAACACAAACACATGGCGTGTTACTTCCTAGTGACTCTTGTACCATAGCACTGCTAAACTGAAAGATAAATACAACCTAATACAATAATCCAGATAGTAAGCTTTGTATGTGTAGGGCTGAGTCCAGAGCCATGTCAATATGTACAATCACCACTTTGATATCTTCGTAACTATTGACACACGTGTCCTGGTTTTTACAACTGTCAGCTTTAAAAGAACGCACAGGACAAAAACAAGCAACATTTGTTCACAGCTGCACGTGTCTGATTACCTTTTCTCCATGGATGCCTTTCCCCTGTGCTCCCTCTAGGCCTCGCAGACCTGGCAACCCCATCTCTCCCTAGATCAAACCAACATTTCTAATTGAATCATCTGCTTGTGGCGCATGTGAGTAAAGGCAGAGCAGGTGTGTGGTTACTCTTTAGATATCTTGATATCCAAATTGGACCATATCATTTTAGAAAGAGTGAGTGTGATTCACCTTCGGCCCAGCAGCTCCGTCCTCACCAGGAATGCCTGGTATCCCAGCAGTACCATCAGACCCTGGCTCCCCCTGGAACACCACATATAAACTCAACTTCTCGGTCTCATTTGGCTGCGTATTTGTAATTCAATGGGATCTGTGGTTGTCTGACCTTTGGCCCTTTTTCACCTACACCTCTCTCTCCCTGAGGTCCCGGCTCTCCTGGAAAACCCTGGTCGCCCTGGGGAAAAACGCAAATGACAAACAACAACTTAACTTTTTAGTTTTAGGGTTCAATGAGAGACAGCTACAGATGTTTTCGGTGCACTTATGATTTCACTTTCACCTCAAAATGAGGTGATTCAGATAAAATGGCCGCATGTTTGTGTGGACACTCATTTGTTTCAGCACATGACTGCTTAATTCTTTAATTCCACATCAGTGACCTCTTGTACTGAAGAAGCAATTTATATCTGGCTCTCATTGATGACTAATTGTCTGAAATCCCCATTTACTTTCACACGATGAATCAAATTATCTGACGGTTTTATATCAGGATTTAATGGTAAATGGATTTTTGATTTTTGGGGGGGAATCAATGGTAAATGGATTTAGATTTTTTTGTATCCGACTACTCAAAGCACTTCACTCACATTCATGCACTGATGAAAGGGGCTATGCAAGGTGCCATCTCAGGAGTCTAACTAACCATTGAGTTCATAGATAAAGCTTAGGACCGCCCACTTACTGTCTCCCCTATCCTCATCAATTTTTGCACATTCACTCAGCTCTATTCAATATGTAATATCTAACACACTGGACACTTTATTGTTTTATCTGAACATTATTATTGTTGATTGCACTTGTGAACATGTTTGTGTGTTTATGTTTAATGTTTGCATCATCCCGACAAGAAAAATTCCTTGTACGTGTAACATACTTGGCAATAAATGGTACGGATTCTCATTCATGCCCATGCATACATTAGTGTCAATTATGTTGCCCTAGGACACATGAACAGGGATTATCAGAGCCGTGGATCGTAAATGAGTTAACTAGGGCTGACTTATTGTCCTGAACATCAGATAAATGTATTGACTTTACTCATTATTTTAAATAATAGGCCACACTGTCAACTCTAGCAATGACTGCTACTGACCTTTGATCCAACTATACCCAATCCAGGAGGTCCTCTGGGACCAGAAGGCCCAGCTGGACCTAGGTCCCCCTACTCCAACGGGAAACATCACAATGTAATGAGTTGCTACACAATTAAAGGATAAACAGGTGGGGGAAGCATTTTCATTGGCTTTGCCTTTTCTCCTTGCACTCCTTCCCCAGGGAACCCCACCATGCCAGGCAGCCCAGGGGCTCCTGTGTTTCCCTAAGGGTCAGACAGGTGAGAGGTCAGACAGGTCGTCCATCATAGCCTTTCAGTCCACAAATGTCCGCAATTGCAACCATTTTTTATAGTTATCCCATACCTTATCACCTTTGTGCCCAACTCCTGGAGGTCCACGGCTACCCTTTGGACCCTCATACCCCCGGTCACCCTGCAAAAAAATACAGTTAAGGTTAAGTGGTTGGGTTAAGAGAACAGGAGAAACAATACCTCTTAAGACTCTTAAATCTGAACTTTAAAACTGGTCATTCTTCCCTCATTAGTTTTAAAACACCAAAATGTCACATCTCATATTTTAAAACTAATTGTTTTTGAAACGGTTTCTCGTCTTAAATAAAGCATTGTAAAATAAAAACGCATATTAGTTTTAGTAAACTAATAGTTTCTATGTCCTGGAACTTACCTTGGATCCTGGAAGACCCTCACCTGGAAACCCTGGTGATCCTTGCATCCCTGGTGGCCCTGCTGGACCCTAAACACATATAAAATTAATAAATACTGAATGGACAGATGTATCATACTAGCGATAGTATACTGGAAGCAATAAAATAATCATCAAACAATTATAAAAGGTCCGAAATGGTTAAGGATCCCTTTTTTAGCGACAAAATGATTTAAGTGGACCTGCCGTTTAAATATAATTTCTATGGAAACAGAGTAGGACCATAGTAATGTGAATTTTAAATGCTAAATGTGGAAATTAAAATGCTCACGAATATATAGCAGTGAAATATTTATCTTGGAAAATTAAGACACAGTTTGAACATATCTGATTTGAAAATTCAGATGTCATAAACTTTCTTTAAGATTTTCATTGCTTAACAGATACACAACAGAAAGTTCAAAAGGATCTGTCAAATTCAAATATAAAACTTTCAGGTCCCAAAATAGAAAAACTAATCTCCAATGCGCAAATTGAGAGTACATTTAGGGACACAGAAATATGATGAATGTATATTTCTGTTGTTTCACTTAGTTTTGTAAACTCACTGGTGCTCCTGGTTCCCCAATACCCATTGGTCCAGGAGGACCTGGTCTTCCTTGGTTCCCCTTGTCACCCTGAAAGATATAGTTGCCATATTAGCGATAAAAACGTTGAAGTAAACCAGACAAACATCAACCTTCGTGCAGATAGACAAATAGGATAATGTTCCTTGTTTTGTCAAAATCTTAACCAAACCCAAGCGTACCTTGGGACCAGGGAACCCAATGCCGTTATCTCCTCGAGGTCCAGATGCACCTCTCAGTCCTCGTTCACCCTGTTAGGAGGGGGAAGAATTAACTAAGTGGGGCTTTAACGATGTGGAGCTTCCACCTATGACCAAACTGATGTATTTGATCGATTTGACTGCCAGTGTTCCTACTTTAGATCCAGATGGCCCTTCAGGACCTTGATCACCAGGTCCTCCCCTCGCTCCCTGAGACAGGAACAAAATAGGAAGGGAAATGAAAAACATAAAAAGCATTAAAGTATTTAAATGTTACAAAAATAACTAAACCCTTTCATTTAGTTCAGAGTTAAAAGAAAGGTAACACAACATATGTTTTTGTTTTCATTTTTCAGTTCTGCAGTCTGGTCTCTGGGAAGTATGCTCCATTGACCCCGGGTGCCTGTGGTTCTTTCTGAAAGTGTGTTTGATTGTACCACCCAACTGTACATGGTCATATGTTATATGTGCATTACTGGTGGAGAATCACAATCCTTCTTTATTCCACACATTTTTCTAGTGGAAACGTGACTCCTAGATCACCCACAATCCAACCCTTCAGATGTCCGGTGAATTAATTTCTTTCTAACCTTCCTTCAACCCCATATTGATTTCCTTTTCAAACCTAGAGTCTTTAATCTTATCTGACTAGATGAGATGAGGGCAGAGCATGTTTATATGCAACTTTTATTCAAACATATCAAATATATTCAACAAGTAAAACATTGGAAACAGAGTGGGTGCCACTGGCCGGCTAGCGGTGAGCGCCCTCTGCAGCAGTCTAAGAGCAGTGGCCTTGTCCAGAGTAAGCCGTCTGTCAGACACTAGCTGACCTCAAAGGATAGAAATCCACTAACATTACAATCCTGCATCATGAACAAGTCAGCAAAGCATGGCTGGGAATCATATATGTAAAATAGCAAGTATTTCATCACATGGTGAACAAGTGGTCCTACATCGTGGACACTTTGTGAAATCAGAATTCTGATAATTTGTGATGAGATTTTTCTCCCAATTTAAATATTGTTGATGTTTAAAAAAAAAAAAAAGTATTGATGTTCTTAGAAAAGTAGGTATGATATACAACAGTTGGTATGATATCTTATGAAAAGTCATTTTTTGTGTACTTTTGTACATAAGCCAGCAACGCACGTCAACTTCCATCTCCTTCAGGTTTAGCAACAGACCTCCATGTTGACTGAGATAGATAGATTACCTAATTTAAGATCGTATTACTGTAAATTGTTCTCTCAAATATCCAAAGTAAGATTTGTCCATCAATCTGCAAACCACTTATCCTGCACACAGGGGGGCTGGAGTCTATCCTAGCCAACTTCGGGCAATAGACAGGGTACACCCTGGACTGGTCGCCAGCCAATCACGGGGCTAACACAGAGACACACAACCATCCACACACCTACAGGCAATTTAGAGTTACCAATCAACCTGATCCCCAGTGCATGTCTTTGGACTGTGGGAGTGCGACAGTGCTAACCACCACACCACCGTGCCGCCTATACGATTTGTGCTTGGATAAAAATGCTACAACATGCACAGGATATACAGAATAATTAATGTAAAAGATGTACAGTTCTTTCAATTCCAATGACAGAAATTATTCAAATATTGCAAGTAGTAAACCAGGTGTAATCCCTTTTCTTAATTTATTTTGTATGTTCCTTGTTACTGTATATACTGCGTTTTTGCAGCAATATAAGCTGATTCTATTTGAGGGGTCCACAAGTGTTCAGTGGTGTGTGTCTTCCCGGGCTGATACAAATCCCCACTGAAAAACAAAGCTGACGAATGATTGACTATGGTTAAGGTTTAGTCACATTTAGGTTCTAAAGTGGATGGTTTGAGGCAGTATCATGGCTTGAGTTAAAATGTTGGTCATCAGTCTAGTTAAGTTAGGGTAGAGTAAGATACCTGCACGTCATGTGTAGTAGCCAGAGGGGACATTTCTTCTTCCATGGAGATCCTGCCTTCACTATCTTCTCAAACCGAAAAGGGGATCTGCACGTGTTATAGTGAAGCCTAGACTCCATGAAGGATAACTGTAAGCCACAGAACTTCAAACTAGGCCATTCCTGTATGATCTAAACTGTGCTGGTACTGCTCTCCTTGCTGTCTCAGAGCAACTCCACACTGCTAGAGCCGCCTCTCTCTCCTCTGTCCTCATCCTTCTGGACCTCTCTACTGCATTTGACACAGTCAACCACCAGATCCTTATTTCCTCCCTTCAGGAACTTGGTGTCACAGGCTCTGCTCTCTCCCTTCCAGAGGTGTCAAGTAACGAAGTACAAATACTTCGTTACTGTACTTAAGTAGAAATTTTGGGTATCTATACTTTACTGGAATATTTATTTTTCAGACGACTTTTTACTTCTACTCTTTTACTTACTTCTACATTTTCACGCAAATATCTGTACTTTTCTACTCCATGGCTTGTCGTAGTTCAAAAACACAAAGACAAAAAAAACCTATCCAGATAAATGTCGCTATCCGGACAGAGTGCATTAGATTGTGTTTGGATGAGAAGTTTAAACATTTAGCATCCAGACACACGATTGGTTTTCTCCGCGATGCGCCGGCAGATCGGAGCGACACCGGGTGGGAAAAGTGGTGGAACGTTGGTATTTAGCGACATGGAGCATCTTCATGAGAGTATTGAAAGTCTGGCACAGCACAGCGACTTGCAAGTAGAGCAGCGTATTAAATAAAGTGATGTGTGTCTTAATGCCGCTTTAGAAATGAACGCACGGGAATTCTGTATTTGCTCATGAAGCCTGAAAATACTGGTTATTTGGCCGATGTTTTGATAACCGACTGCTGCCAGTTCAGTGTTTCCCATCATTATAAACAGGGGGCGCCCCCCCCCATGACGTAGTAAACCTGGGGGACACTGCAGTCTACCTAATCAATGTGAACAACGTGTGTGTGACTCGTGTCACTGGAAAATGGTTGTGGTTTTATCTGTTTAAGTTAATTAGATACATTTGTGGTTGTTGTTTCCACAATCCCAACGGCAGGTCACGTGATCTGCAGGCACCTTCTGATCACATTGTAACGCACATAGTACTTTATACTATTACTTAAGTAAAAAGCTTGGGTTGATACTTCAACTTCTATAGAAGTCTTTTTAAACCCTAGTATCTGTACTTCTACTTGAATAATGAATGTGAATACTTTTGAAACCTCTGCTCTCTTCTCTCGTCCTACCTCGACGGCCGAACCTACCGGGTAACCTGGCGGGGATCTGTGTCGGAACCTTGTCCTCTTACTATTAGAGTTCCTCAGGGTTCTGTCCTGGGTCCCCTCCTCTTCTCGCTCTACACCAACTCTCTCGGCGCTGTCATTCGCTCGCATGGCTTCTCCTACCACAGCTATGCCGACGACACCCAACTAATTCTCTCCTTCCCTCACACGGACACCCAGGTGGCAGCATGGATCTCTGCCTGTCTAACTGACATCTCTCAGTGGATGTCCGCCCACCATCTGAAAATCAACTCCGACAAGACTGAACTACTTCTCTTTCCGGGAAAAGATTCTCCGACCCAGGACCTGACGGTCAACTTTGGCAACTCCGTGCTAACGCCTACTTTGACCGCTAGGAACCTCGGCATCACACTCGACAGCCAACTTTCCCTGACTCCCAACATCACTGCAACAACACAATCCTGTAGATACACACTCTACAACATCAGGAGAATACGTCCCCTTCTCACTCAGAAGGCGGCGCAGGTACTGATTCAGGCTGTTGTCATCTCCCGCCTGGACTACTGCAACTCCCTCCTGGCAGGTCTCCCTGCTAACGCCATTTGACCTCTGCAGCTCATCCAGAATGCAGCAGTTCGACTGGTCTTTAACCTTCCGAAATTCTCCCACACTACTCCACTCCTCCGCTCTCTTCACTGGCTACTGGTGGCTGCCCGCATCCAGTTCAAAACATTGGTGCTCCCGTACCATGCTGTGAATGGATCAGGTCCAGCTTACATCCAGGACATGGTCAAACCCTACATACCGACCCGCACTCTCCGCTCTGCATCTGCAAAACTGCTCGTCCCTCCCTCACTGAGAGAAAAACACTTGACTAGATGACGACTTTGCTGTCCTTGCTCCGAAATGGTGGAACGAGCTCTCTGAAGACATCAGGACCGCAGAGAGCCTTCACATCTTCCGCCGCAAACTAAAGACACACCTCTTCAGACTCTACGTCAACTAAAAGACTAACAAATTTTAGCACTTAAATTGTACTTGTAACGTCACTCATCTATAGCAAATTATAAATTGGCTTATTTGAGGAAATTGCACTTTCTTGTTTCTTGTTCTTCTGAGTTTGTACCCCTATGGTTGAATGCACTTATTGTTAGTCGCTTTGGATAAAAGCGTCAGCTAAATGACATGTCATGTAATGAGGGGCAAAACACAGCTCCATACAGAAGCAATCCTTTGAAAAAATAATTTAAAAGAAATGTTATTGAAGTCTGCTGTTGATCCACGCTGAAGGGGGCATGAGCATTTAAGGAGAGAAGGAATGGATAACATGTGCCCAAATCCTAATCCTGTGGGACAACGACTGCTCAAAGACTACAACCAAACATTGCAAGCTTGGAATCCCCGCTTTCGAAAGGCTACATTAGGAGCGGGATAAGACCTAATCCACAGCTCACATTCCACAAGTGCAAAGCAGGAGATGGACCTGCAGTGTGTGGCTTTCACTGCAGTGCACACTGTTTCAGTGTGGAATCTTTCAATTTGACCACACAGACATAGAGGTATGAGGATCTGAAGTCATACTTATCAAATTCACTTTAGGTTTTTATAATTAAAAAGTCTGAGTTGGGTGTATTACATATGGTGAATATTAAATTAAACATCTGTTGTCAACTGTTTTTTTTTCAATATCTTCCATGCAAATGTTTGCCAATTGTATGAGAGCATATGAGAGTCATATTTTAATCAAACCCATACAATGTTGAATGTAACTTAAGTCATTATCAAATTTAAAACTGTAAATAAATTGAGTGATGAAATAAATAGTGAATTAAATAAATGAAGGAATAAATACAGAAAACATATCAGTTGATATATTTGCATAAACCTAAATTAAATCATGTTTTACTTTCGAACTTAATTGATATTCATTTGTATTTATTTCAGGGGTATATTGAGGGGATATATATGTACATATATCCGCTCAATATATATATATACATATCTTCAATTTTGAATACATTTCTGTCTTTCCTGACGACAAATAGACATGGTCAGCAGTAGTGAGGGACTTTGGATCAATATTTTTGAAACATTGTGTGTTTATGACATTGTGTACCAAAATACATTTTTAGACTTTTTGTCTAAAGCGTCATATTATCTTTTTCTGTTGTATTGCTGAGACTGTGAATAATGGGACACCAAAGTAATTCTTAGCGATTCATAAATGCAAATAGCCTTGGTTAATGGGATAAAAAGCACAACAAAAAATCTTCACCTGCTCTCCTCTAGGGCCTCTGGGGCCAGGGGGTCCATCTCTACCCTGAGGATAAACATCAATACAGCGTCACTATATGTACATGACGAATAAGAAAAGTCGTAGTGTTGATTCAAACTAACTAAATATTGAAACCTACCTGTTCTCCTTGTTTACCAGTGGCACCACATTCCCCCTGTTCTCCCTGAAAAGTGAAAGAAGGCTTCTATGATCTGGCCCTGTCTGACACTGCTCATCATGTCTGCCAGCTTTAGGGTGTGTAACTACTGTCAATGTCTGTAAGAATGAGATATCCAAATCACAGCCGTACTGATAGTATGGTAAAAAGGTTCTCAAAAATATGAATAATACATACCTTTTCCCCTTCGATGCCCGTTCGACCCTAAAGAAAAAAGATTTTCATTTTGGTGAATAGCCTAGCTTAACATAGAGACTGGAAAAAGGGAATTTCTTGGGTGAAAAAAGTTGTTTCCAGTAACATTTCCCAGTCTTGTCATCCGATAGAGGTCGCCGGAGTCACAGCGGAAACCTACGTAAATGTTGCCTTTACCTTTTCTGCCTGTTTTTATGTAATTTGTATTGTTTTCAATATGAATATGTGTATGTGTAAAAGTGATTGGATGATTACCTCAAGGCCCTCCATTCCTGGACGTCCGTTAATGCCAGGTTCCCCCTGCAGTGACCGAGCCAGGACAAAACATTACATCAAACAAAATTTCATGTACTCTCTCAGTATCCAGGCTGGATTATGGTAGACAATAGGGACTTACACGAGATCCCATTGGACCCGGAGCTCGATCAGACCCCGGCTCGCCTGGTTTACCCTAGATGAAAGAATAGGGAGCAATTTTGCCCAATGAGAATGTTTGGGCCCCTCTTTAGGTGTCACTCTGTGTATGTACAGGCAAAGGTGAAACGGGGCATGGTCAGTGCGACCTGTCTGTAACCCCCGGCAACATAAACGTGCACCTCGGTGCAGCAGGTTCTCAGATCTTCTCAGCCGGCTATGTTTGCCTGATCTCCCTTCGTTGACCTTTTTTCCTGTGCCTCTCTAACAGTGAAAACATTACTTTCAGCCGGGCCCCGCCACTACATGCTACACATTGGGGGAAACATTTGCTACTCTGTCACATCTTTTCCAGGTAGATCTTGAATGGAGGCGAGACACCCCCCCAGACAACCCTCTCTATGCAGAGTCAACAAGCCACTGTGTGAGGCCTACTGTTCTCTGTGTGGCTGAGGAGGTGATTGACAACCTGAAGCCAGCAGACACCAGCACAGCTGGGCAGTATCCTGGTGTAGAGATGGCAATTGTGCTTTTATGAAAAACTATGGGTTATGTTGAGATCCTAAATCTTGGGAACCAAAAATATGTTTGAATGTCCACCTTGTATCCAGCTAGAAGAAACGCAAAATGTTGTTACATTTAGGCAACCAAATACTCTGTTATGGTTGGAAAAAAATATCATTAAAATAAAAATGTTGTATCCTACTCATTATTAAAACACATAACATTAAATTACGATTGCTCAAATACCTTATCACTTGCTTTGACTGCATGTTGAAAGTAATCCTTCAACTTGTTTGAGGTTTGTAGTACAATGTATAATGCCAACATTTTTTCAGAAGACTGGAAATATTGTCCCAATGCCCAAAGGTCTGCAGGATGTCAGACCAGGACAGCAGGTCCTTCCCACTACTGATTGAAGAAATGTGGTTTTCTCCAGGGGAATAGATCAACGTGAAGTACCCCAGGTATGGGGGGGACTCTCTTGTTCTGTCCAACTGATCCAACACTGTGTTACAAAACAATTTCTAGTCCAGATATTCAGGGTCTATTAAGGATGATACTCCGGTGTGGCAATACATCTATATCCACATAGTTGTAGTAAGGCACAAAGGTGTTATGTATGTAGTCATAAGGGCTAATAAGCTCACATATCAACAGCCCCATCTCAGTTGAGTCACGAAGACCATGCCACAGGAAGTTGAGATCCAGAAAAGTTAGTTTGGGGACTTTGAGTAAGGAGTAGGGACATTTTATATTGTTCTATATGGCCCTATTTGTGTCTTGTGAAAAATGTTGAAATGAAAGCTCACACCAACAAATTGCTGTAAATTTCACTGTGGTTTCTTAACTGTTTCTAACAGTATTTCATAATAACTGCAACATATTTGTTTATTTGTTTATTCCTTTCATGTAAATGAACAGCCAATGCCGTAAGTAAATAGTTACTGCCGCCAATCAACAATAACAGCAGATTACCATAATTTACCAGCATTATACAGTATATTTTGTGTTGTTGGAAATAAACATCTTTAAACAAGTGCAATGAATCACAATCCCTCTATATCTACTGTATAATAATGAGTCAATAATGACGATGTCATATTTTTAGTAATTTTAGTACTCAACTGTTCATTGGCAAAAAGTCATTTTTCAGTGAGAAGTTGTGACCTGCTTTGACAGCAAACCCACACACGTAAAAATTTCAGAACTGTATTATTTTAGAGTGCAGGGAGAAGCTACTGGGCGAACTTCACAATTGTGAAATGGATTTTTCAAATGTCCAAAATACATTTGTAATCTCAGATAAATGATCAGATTTATAATGTTTTGATATACAGTAATTGGGTGTATTTTTTATAGTGGCTCACATCTCATTGTTGTTTGTCCTGTTAAATTACATTACGATCAGTTGCACATTCTTTGTTAGTCATCCGGCACATGTAAACACAGGTCATCCTTCCATCCATCCCTCCATCTACGCTAGTTGGAATAAAACAACAATAACTGGAAGTAAATGGCGATATACATATTCAAATCTTTGGGAAAAACGAACATAGAATGAGTTCTGACAGATGTAAGCATATCATGATGATCATTTACAGTCAAGGAGAGTACTATAACACACTTACCGTGCTTCCAGGGTGACCCCGCTCCCCCCGCTCACACAGACAGTTCTTTGGCGGAGGGCACTGAAATAAAGGCATGGGGTAGAAAGCAAAAATATCAAAAAAATGTATAAAAACATTTTTTTTTAAAAGGATGAATGAAAATGAAAAAGCTGACCTGGTATTTCTTTATAAAAAGGTTCAAGACTAATATTGTGGTTTGTGGAAGTTTTTTTTTTTTACTCTTCATCTCATTTTGAGATTAGTTTCATCCACTTGTAAGGACAGTGATAAAGTTGTATAAATTAAACACCACAGAATACTTACCCCCATTTTGACAATTGAGTTCTGAAAAAAAAAACAGCAACAGTCACTCATAGTCCAATTCTGCAGAAATTGTGATATTTAACATTAGAAGTACGGATATTTCATATTTATTATATTCAGAGGTAGTCTCATTTCTTCTAAACAAAATATGTTTTATTTGTTTGCGTTATGTCTTACGAACTCCTCATATAACAGTGCTACTTAATGTTTTGAACCTGCCTTAAACCCTAAATAAATGCGGTAGTTATCCCAAAGCAAATCACTAGGACTAATGGACCAAATTCTCTTACAGGAAATAACCTGAGGCTTTACCTAGTACCCTTTCTCTAACTGGGAATGTTGGTATAGGCAGACAAACGTTATTAAAGTAAACCTATCAACTATTGGGAACGTGCAGTAAAAGTCCACTCATAACTCTGTTATATTGCGGTACAGTCAATTTAGCAGAATGATTCTTTATTTTTCTTCTCTAAACATGTTTCTGAGTATCTGCAACTCCGGCATGTGACACAACCAGTAATGGTAAATGAACTGTACTTGTATAGCACTTTTCTAGTCTTCCGACCACTCAAAGCGCTTTAACACTTCATTTCATCATTCACCCATTCAGACATTGATGACTGATGACCATACACAGTGCCAATTGCCCATCAGTAACTAACATTCACACACTGTGTCACAGCTACAGGAGCAATGTTAAGGGTTAAGGTTAGCCAGGCCTGGGATCAAACCGACAACCCTCTGATTGGAGAACGACCATGCTCCCCACTCACGCACAAATGCAACCCTGACACAGACGCAACTGACCAGTTCATTGAAGAGCCTGTCATCCAGCTGGCTGTCAGCGAGGCTGAGGATGTGCTGCTGCGGGGGGGCGCTGGCTATGGATCTTAGCTTCGTACCCATGGAGTCGTCCCTCTGCGGGCCCGACAGCCCGATGGCGAACACCCTGATGTTGAGCCGCTTGGCCTCGGAGGCAGCTGTCACAGCACTGGGGCTGCGTGGATGGTCCACTCCATCCGTCATCAACAGGGCCACCCTCAGGCTGCTAGAGGACGTCTCGCGGCCAAATACTTGGGTCGAGTTGGTGATGGCGTAGGCGGTGTAAGTGCCGTGGCCGATGAAGGTCATGGAGGCCACACGGCTCTGAAAGACGTCCAGGTCCTGCCAGTCCCTGAAGTTGTGCTCCACCGACACGGTGCTGCTGTACTGCAAAGCGGCCAGGCGCAGCCGCAGCCGCCAGCCGGCAGACTGCAGCTGCAGGAGCTTAGTGCTGAAGCGCAGGACAAAGTCTTTCTGACGCTCAAATAGCAGAGATTTGGCCCTCTCTGAGCTGTCCACGATGAACATGATCTCCACCGGGCAGATCAGAGCTAGGTAAAACCACAACACAGTAGGCTTATATTCTAATAGCTACCGGTTAGAGAAGTGCCGAGCAGCTGGTGCAGCAATATGTTAAAACTCCTGCAGGGAACATTCACATGCATGTTTCAGGGAGCAGTGGCCTCAATTCTTCCACCTTAACCCATCTTCCACCTTCACACATCCAAAACTATTTTTACCTGGAACATCTCTGACATTTGTAAAACATTTCTGAAACCAATAGTTGGATTTTAGAACCTACCCAATGAAATTTGATTGTGTGCAAATTGTATATTAAACCACTTGTATTCAAGAAAAACGCAGAATACAAGACCAGGGAGCAGAAAGGTTGTCTTACATACCGCTCTGCCAATTAATTATTCACACCCCACCTGGAAAACACTACAGCCGTTTGCTATAATGTATCACACCCCAGCCCTGTATTCTGATGTCCTGTCTTAATGATCAAGTTTTGTACAGAAATGTACCCCTTTGACAAAATAGAAAACACTCTTGTCGAGGCAGCAACTTCTGGTTCTTCCGTATGACGTAACCCCTGTGAAACTACTCATTGGACAGTGTCTTCCCAGAAGCATAGCGCCCTCTCAGTGCTTACCAACCAACAAAAAGTGGCACTACAGTACATGCTGGTTCATTAGGCCACGTCTAGAGAACTACATTTGCTAAAAGGCACAATATATTGCTCACAATCAATGGCGACTGTATTTAAGCATTTTATGGTTGAAAACACAAAATACCCAAACCTAAAAAAAAGTATGATGTGTCCCCTTGAAGTCCTTTAACTCACGCCTGTGTAAACAGCCACAGCTCGTTGCTTTGACATAATGTAAGATGTGTAATAATCTAGAATGTACTATGTCTTTGGACAAGGTGATACATTATACATTTCATTTCTATTCAACACACTTACTTTTGGCCTCATTGATGATGACCTGGTAATCATCTCTTTGTCCTTTCCCTTTTCTTTTTTGGCATGTAGTTGGACTTGATAGGGCCAATGTGAGGATCAGAACCTTTTCGAGCCACCGCATAGTCATTGTTTAGTACAGCCGATAGCCTGGAGAAATATAGAGAAGGTTATAGCAGCACTGGTGGTAAATGAGGCTGCAGGAAGACTTGTTGCAGATTTGAGCGGTTACATTATCACTGGTTGGCGGGAATTTCACATGGGCAAAAGTGGGAGACAGGATCACTCTCAGGCGATTCCCCTCATCTTCCAGATGCTGTTAGAGATCATCACTATTACCTTTACCTCGACACATCTGCCACTAGTACTGCTGCACGTATCACCATATGCTAATACTAATACTAGTGTTTGTATTTTGAATGCTTCTGAGACATCAACTGCCAGAACTACATTTTGGTGGTTCTGGCGATTATACTAATAATGCTGCTCTAGCATCTAGGTTGGGAAATGGGGCGATACATACTGTGGTTTAAGGTCAATATATGGAAAAGGACTGACTTGTGTCATCTAATTATTTTATTCTAAAGGATTTTGGCACCTATGTGGCTACTTTAGCCATTTGAAGTATCTAAAAGGGTTTCATGCAATACGCATATGCAGAACGTGATTTTATTAATGTCACCCACCCCTATCAAAACCACTGATGCAATTACTACAAATAATAGCATTATGTTAATCGCTTCTACTTCCACAAACTACAATTACTGCTATCAGCCTTATTGTGCTATTATTGGTTTGATTCATAATTCTATTGTATTATGAATACTGCTGAAGTGTTGCTACAGAAATACTTTGATTACAGCCAATTACCATGCCTACATATTGCTGGTTATTCAGATAATACTTCTACCTGTAAAGTGGTGGTATTATATTTGGAATCAAACCTGTTTTTGGAAATGTGAGTAAACTGCAATTGCTGCTGTTACTGTTAGTGCCACAAAACTAAACTTTCCACCATTTCAACCACTTCTATATACAACATGTGTCTGGTACCATAAGTACCACAAAGTAAAATAAAACATCCTAAAAGAGTATGATGTATATATTTCATAAGAGTTCCCCAAGCTTAAAGGAGCCATACCTGTGTGTTGGGAGAATAAGAGCCCCGGCTTAATCCATTAGTGAGAGCAGCACGCGTGCCTCGTTCTGATGGCCACAGTACACCGGGGAAAGTCTCCCACATTACAAACAGACTTCTTATTGGCCCCCTTCAAAGTAAAGCTCCACATGAATACGTTGCATCTTTCGTCTTTTTTAAAAGTGGTTGGGACCTAGAACTTTACATATGAAAATACTTCCATAATTTCAACATGCAATTATGAGTATATAAGATGCAGTTCGTAGTTCTTCAAATAGCCAGCTGCTTTTATTTTGAAGGCTACTTGTTCTGACAAACTGTCGTAGCTTGAAGCGTTTTTTCACTAATCACGCACTCAGTTGAAATAGGTGGCAATGCAACAACAGCGGAACCTTTTACACATCGAAAAGCACAAAGAGAAAGAAAAAGGAATCATTTAGATGTAAAACTCCTGCAGTCACAGAAAAATGATCAGGTAATCGTTAAGGAGTATCTCTAGTGTTATTCTATTGCTGTACCACGTAAATTATTCCAACTATTATTGTGTAATCATGAATGTGAGAGATGTGTATTGTTGTAGCTGTCCCCCCACACAACTATGGGAATCTCTCCATCCATCCAAGTCAGAGTTGTAAACATGTGATAAATGTTGTGAAAGGAAACATGTGTAACATTCGCTCCCTTCTGGCTCTGCTTTGGTCTCCACCAACTGCTCAGGAGAAAAAAGTATCCTTCTCTTTGTTGTAGGTTTGTCAGAGCTTGTCTTTTTGGAAAACATCTGCCTGTTGGACACCGGGTTAATGAGTAATGGCTCATCACTTTTTACATGTAACTATTAATTTCATTGTTTTAAAATGATTGACAAAAGAAGCTTGAAGTACTGAACTTTGAAGTCTATTTCCACCACTTTCAAAATGATATTTGTTTTTTAAGTGCAACTTAAAAAGTAGCAGGTAGCATGTACAAGTTATTGCATCTACCAGCCATCTTTCACTGCAAGGAATATCTAGATAGCATCCAAGACAAAGTCAACACAATAACAGGGTGTAATGTAGGGTGAAGAAGACAGAACATGTACTCTGAGGTTGGACTGAAAATATGGCTCTATCAGGGTGGTGGAGAGAAAAAGGGATGTTCTCAAACTAATCTTTATGGAGCCAAATGTGAAACCCGAGAAGGTTTAGTGACTGCAAGAGACCTGGAGGATGTCGGTATGAGAAATCTTAATTAGCTGCTCCAATAACTCATATAGACAGGCCGGGACGACGCATCACGCCCGATTCCTCACATAAATCACGGATATGTCTTTGACCTGCCACTGCTCTTTGCTGCAAGAAGTTACCAATCATTGAGCTTGTTGCCTGCAACCCCAGAGAAAACATTCCTCCATAGATCCTCTACGTTTATAACATATCAGTTTGCTACTGCTAGGAATAAACAGTCTTCTGAAGTGAACTGGTGCACAATAACACACCTGTTAATATAACAAGTGGTCAAAGGTTGGTAGGCTAACATGAGGTGACATTCAGAATATCTGGGAAAAATTCTCTTTTGATTAAGATAAAGAACTGCATAGTGAAATTAAGCTAATAAGATAGGATGATAGTCTGTAATTTTGTCAAAATTCCCAGCTGCTTTCTGATGCTAGACAGTGAGCTAAACATGCTAAACATCCGTCTTAACACAGACTCTGGCAAAACTTCAATATTAATGCTATTAGACCTCAGTGCTGCATTTGATACTGTCGACCACTCAATACTTTTGGACAGGTTGGAAAACTGGGTGGGGCTCTCAGGCACAGTCTTAAGCTGGTTCAGGTCATATCTACAAGACAGGAACTATTTTGTTTCCATTGGTGACTTCGTATCAGAAACAACTGACGTAACGTGTGGAGTCCCCCAAGGTTCGATCTTAGTGCCGACTTTATTCAACATCTACATGCTCCCACTAGGACAAATCATGCAAAGAAATAAAATTGACCACCATTGCTACGCTGATGACACCCAAATCTATGTAGGGCTATCACCAAACGACTATCGCCCCATAGATCTTCCGTGCCAGTGCATTGAGCAAATCAAAGACTGGATGTGTCAAAATTTCCTACAACTAAATGAAGACAAAACTGAGATCATTGTATTTGGTGCTAAAAAGAAAGGTTTAAAACCCAACACCTTCACTCTCTGTCCCTGAAAACATCAAATTAAGCCAGAAATCTGGGGGTTATTATGGATTCAGATTTACACTTGGAGAGTCACATCAAATCAGTAACAAAATCGGCCTACTACCACCTCAAAAATGTAGCACGACTTAGAGGGCTCATGTCAGCTCAAGACTTAGAAACACTTGTACATGCCTTTATAACTAGTAGCCTAGACTATTGTAATGGTCTCCTTGCAGGTCTTCCAAAAAAAACTGTCAGGCAGCTCCAGCTTGTTCAGAACGCTGCTGCTAGAGTTCTAACAAAGACCAAAAAATGTGAGCACATTACACCAATTCTTAAATCCTTACATTGGCTCCCAGTATGTCAGAGAATTAATTTCAAAATCCTACTGCTCACATATAAATCACTACATGGTTTAGGCCCAAAGTATATCACTGATATGCTTCCACTACATAAGCCTTCAAGATCACTAAGATCTTCTGACACCAATCTGTTAGTGATTCCCAGAGTAAATACAAATCATGGGAAAGCATAATTTAGTTACTACGCAACAAACAGCTGGAATGAACTTCCTGAAGATTTAAGACTTGCCCCAACTCTGACCACGTTTAAAACAAGACTGAAAACTTTTATGTTCAGCTTCGCCTTCTGCTAAATTTTACCTACATTGCACTTTTAACCTCTGCTTTTAATTAAACAATTTAAATAAGATTTTAATTTATAATTTTATTTGCTGTTTTTAATTGTCTTTTAATTCATGCATTTTATTTCACTTCATTGTATGAAATGTTATAATGTGAAGCACTTTGAGTCTGCCTTGTGTATGAAAAGTGCTATACAAATAAAATTGCCCTGCCTTGCCTAAAGGCCTCCAAAGGGGGGCTGCAGAGTCGGATCATAACATTCTGTGGGATCGCCATAACAAACAACCTGAAATCTTTATTAGACATAATCATTTGATTCCTGGTTAATATTAAATGATAATAACAGCCAAGGACGCTACATAGCACTCCAGGTCTACCCCATTTGGGACACATTAGATCCAGTGGTGATCTTAGGAATCTGAATTAACCGGAACAGCACTGACTCAGGGGCTGTGTCTCATTTCGGCTGCTGCATCCTACAGAGGAACCGGCCTTGGTAGTCAATGTGGCATGTGTCCTTCAATGGGCGCATAGGCTGAACCAAATAGTCTCTCAAATAAAACGGTCTGGCCTTTGAGGGCTTTTGTCATCAGCTTGTCCTTCCACATCCCGTTGCCTAGCAACCTGCTGCACCTGACAGTAAAAGCGTTATAACTCTAAAAACCTGCAGAGGAAAACCTTGGCAGAGGAAATCAATCAATACAGTCAATAAAAACAACAACAGAAAACACATTGTTCTCCTTGAGCTTGAGGCTGCTTTTCCCTGGTTCCATGAAACAAAACCAAATATATAGTTAGTTTATAATCACACCAAAAAACTAAATATATGGTTAGTTTATAATCACAGCACAAAACTAAATATATGGTTAGTTTATAATCACAGCACAAAACTAAATATATGGTTAGTTTATAATCACAGCACAAAACTAAATATATGGTTAGTTTATAATCACAGCACAAAACTAAATATATGGTTAGTTTATAATCACAGCAAAAAACAGTGATATTTCAGTTTCATAAGTTGTCTACTTGAGCTCAATTTGATCAATTTCTGTTTGTAATATGAAGTATAAACTACATATAAAACCGTCACAGCCTTAGTAAGATATTTTTGAGCCTATAAAGTGTGAAAGAAAAAGGCAGGCGAGCTCCCCGTAATGTCAGCTGGTCGTTGCGGTATTAGTTATAAATGTACTCACATTTATATGGTACATTGATGTTCATGTATGCTTAATTGTGGTCTATGACAACCACAACAAGAAGAAGGACCCAGGGGGATTCAGGTCAGGGGTACAGCCCGGAGCATGGGCTGTATGGGGGAGAGACAGCATGACGAACTGACAAATAATTAAATTAAATGGGTTTTTTACACATGTGACTTCATATGTGCTGAAAGCCTCGTAACCTTCCCATCAGATAGAACCACCATCAGATGTAACCACCATCAGATCTAATCCCCATGAGATGTAACTACCATCAGATCTAATCTTCTTCAGATCTAACCACCATCAGATAGAACCACCATCAAATGTGATGTGACCATGGTTTGGAACTTGGGGCAACTGAAGTCCATCCATCTATCCATTGTAAAACCGCTTATCCTGCACACAGGGTCACGGGGGGGCTGGAGTCCATCCCAGCCAACTTCGGGCGATAGACAGGGTACATCCTGGATTGGTCGCCAGCCAATCGCAGGGCTACACAGAGACACACAACCATTCACACTCACATCCACACAGCTACGGGCAATTTAGAGTCCCAATTAACCTGATCCCCAGAGCATGTCTTTGGACTGTGGGAGGGCAACTGAAGTGTTCCTGTTAAATTTTCATCAGAAGGAACTGTACATATAAAAAAGTGGACTTTTAAGTTCAACTTCCAAGAAGGAACTTCTAATAAGAGTGAACTTTCCATTCTCGACACAATCAGGCCAAATGGCCCTGAATCCACCACCGTGACGAATATATCGTTGTGTCACTGTATCACACAAAAGAGGAACTTTGTTAAACGTTAGTGAGAGGCAGTGGTTGTGGATGTGTGAAGAGAGAGCAGGCCGGGTGCCCGATGCTGACGCCTGTATGGGAAGAGACTGCCAGTAAGTCTGCCTGTGGCCCACTGTCTGCAGACAGCTCTGCGTTAAGACAACACAGCAGCCGCACTGGGCTGGGAGTTTGGACAGAGCTTCCTGCCGCCGTTCAACATATTTTGATAAGACCAACGGGCTTTTTACAGCACACGGCTGCACGGCCAGACGCATACTGTACACAAGCATGGCCCCGTGAAATGCTGCCAGGGGCCGAGTGGGAACCAAATTCTGTTCTGGAAATTTGACAATTTTGTCAAACCCTGTATTAACATTGTTATTCCAATCATTTCTGCTAGCGCTCAGCCCGCTCGACATTCGCCAGAATTGTGTGAAACTGACCCTGCAGTATCTTTTCAACTGCCGTTCACAGGCTGACAATAAGATGAGCTTTTTTCTTTAAGTAAGATTTGGAAATTATATTTTTTGACAAATTACAACAGTACTCTATCAGGAAGAAACTAAAATGTTTTGGTCACACATCTAATTCTTTATGCTTTTTTCACTCTGCTGGGAGATTCTGGTGATTCAATCATGACGAAATAGTCAAGACTCAGATTTTGATTTTGTGTATATATCTTGCTTTTGTTCTGTCTGACGCAGATGTTTTTCACCTCAGATTATATAACATGAAGCTGTAGAGCCTTGCAGCATGACGTGTATGTGTGCCTTGTCACGTCTGGAGGAAAGCGGATACAGCTCATCACCTATCCCATACCGTCCCTACAGTGAGACACGGTGATAACAGCATCTTGCTGTGGGATGTTCTACAGTGGGAGGAAATGGGAGACTAGTCAATATTAAGGGGAAGATGAATGCAGCAGACATCCTGGATGCAAACCTTCTGCAGAGCGCTCTGGACCTCAGACTGGGGCGACGGTTCATCCTCCAACAGGACAACAACCCAAAGCACACAGCCAAGACAACACAGGAGTGCTTCAGGACAACTCTGTGAATGTCCTTTAGTAATAATTTAATCCATTTTGGAATAATTCTGTAATATAACAAGCTAAGCACCGTGAATACTTACTATGACTTTCTGAAGTCAAAACTGCAATGGAAATTATTACATTTAACCTCTCAGTGGGAAATACAAAGATGTCTTAAAGCATTTTCTAAAACAGACATAAGGGTTGAAATTCAGCTGAATGGATAGAGCTCTCTTTCCCCACCGATGGTTCGGAAGTCTAAACAATAAACGTTTTTTACGGAGTATATATTGACATTATTTTGTCCTTCCACACCCCCCCCCCCGCCCCCCCCGCCTCTCTTGATTAGCGGCTGTCCTCTTCCGTCTGCTGAGGCATCCACCAAGGCTGCGATCCCAGCTTTGTATGGTCTCCCTCATAGAGGGTTAAAAGGGGGCACAACAGGATGCTACTGCAGAAGTCAAAACAAAATGCCTTTGTAGTAATAACATTTTATGTCTGGTGACTTTGGATGGCCTGGTTTGCCTGTGTTCGGATTTAAAAAATGCAAGTTATATCAAAGAAGTACATTGTAGTTAGTTTAATGCACCATGCTAAGTACTGTGGATAGGTCATTGTTGTGTCTTTTATGAGATGTTTGCTGATGGTCAGTACAGTTATCAGGCTTGCTCATGTAACGGTTCTTGAGGCACAAATTCAAACAGACGTGATTCATTGTTTAAATGTAACTTCAAAGTGGCACACAGTGCTATATATTTACTGCATGGGGCCACAGAGACAGTTTTAGAGTCCATGAATGCTACATGAGGAGTTTTTAGGAATGGAGTCTTCCTGAACTCCCCATTCTTTGATCATTTGTTAAAGCTCCCTGTGGCACTTTTGCAGCTCTGACAGCTTCATGCGGTCGGCCCAGGAGCCCCGCTTTGGGGTCCTGATAGGCATGTGGTAGATATGCACAGGTTGTCTCAGACATGTTGGCTCACATTGGCTCACGGCGAGCTGCCTCAATCATCGAGCAACTACCGAATGAAAAGAATCAAGGTGTCCTCCTTGGTATGCAGAATATGAACTAATGATCTCTTGGTAATCGGTTAAATGCAGTGAGTTCCACAGATCCACAGCTCTGTCCAGGTTATGTCAAGGTCAACAAGCAGAAAAGAATGGCTCCACGGACACCCAGCCCTCCAAAATGAGCCTAACCATTTGAGGGTAATTTACATTATTATCAGTGATGATGATTTACACTGCGGGACAAAAGCAAACAGACTGGGGCCTACACTAGTATGTGAGTGCAATGATGTATTGGGTAGATTTTTTAAGGTCATCACTGCGGGCAAACAGTGGGGGCCATTTGACAGTTTCAGGGATGTCCGTCAGTAAAACGTGCCTCATTACTCACTCAAAGCTTTAAATCTAGAGCAGGTCCAAATTTTTGTATTTGAAAAATTTTAGGCATTCCATTTTTTATTTAAAGTGTAAAGGTTTTCTTTTTTTTTACATTTAATCATTGACTAATTGGCCCATATGTCAGAGTCAGAGCTAACAGCTGTTAATCCTTTGAAATAATACAAATAAAAGTGAATCGTAACCATCAACTCGTGTGATTTTGAACCACAGACATTTAATGGGCTCAACGTTCCAGAAGATGGCGTTATGCTGCAATTTCTTCACTAAAATAGGAAGATTAAAAATTAAACATTGTGAAGATTTCTACACAGATGTGTTCAGCTGTGCTTTGTAGCCACATACTTCCGACACATTCACACCTGGCCTGAACAAAAGCAAACTGGAACTAAATAAATAGAAATCTAAACTTTATGACAAACTCAGAATTAATTTAAACTTGGCAATGCACCAATGAAATACATTTTAACGAGGATTTAAAAGGCAGAGAATAAGAGCAAATCTTCACATTGTCATGATGCAAAACGATTTGTTGTGTATCGCTGGGGTGACTTTTGGTTTCAAAGGCCAAAATTAAACCAAATTAACAAATGAATGTGCCTGTGTGAGTGGGTGCTGGGTTTTACAGGAATATGGCAGATAGTAGAAACGTTTCCATAACAAAGTGTGTCAGATAGAAGCTATAGTGCTCGTGGACGGAGGCAGATGGAGCAGATACTGCTACGTCACCAGCGGTGTCTGGACTTGCTTGAACGTGGCAGCTGGCCCCCTCCAGGCTACGGCTCTCCCACCCATCAGCAAACTGCATGTGGCTGGACGGGCCTCTTATAATGATATACACGTCCGTACATCAGTTTGCTATAACAATAAATCTAACAGAGATAATTTCCTTCGTGATCATATTTTATGGCACAGTTCAAGGTGGATTGCATTCATCATCCCGCTAAAGGATAACTATAAACTCCTGTCTACGTATATTTAGAAACAGGGTGTGGACAAAAAGGAACACTGATTCATTACAAGCTCTAATGACTCAGGAAAAGGCTCATGTTTGACAACTTGTGCAAGCAAGTGTATATATGTTGAATGATCGAGAAACTAAAGATATTGCAAAAGAAAACACAACAAAGGTGACAGGAAAACAAAAAGAGTGCAAATATTTTTTTTTTTTAATTGTGTGGGATGGGGACTGTGCTGTGGGGGAATATAACTAAAATATTTAATCTTGTATTTTAGTGTATTTCTGAAATTAATTAAGTTTTTTATTTTAATGCTTCTTTTATGGAGACAAATAGTCTACCTTTTACATATTGTAATATATATATATATATATATATATATATATATATAGCGTCTATTTTTAATGCTGTATTTTCCAGACTGGAGTTGAGGTTATTTAACTGGCAACACACACGGCAACTATGTTGTCCATATCCCTTGCAAAGACTCTTCACTCCATCATTTTTACTTTTCGTTCCGGACCAAATATGTATTAGTGTTAGTGTATGGAATATGTAAAACAAAGCTTGGTTTACTATTTAATTTTGGCAAACAGAACTTTTGGTTTGAGGTGCATTATTGCAATAAAAAATAGAAAATACATTATTTTGAATAATGCATATACACTAAATCAAAAGGGCCAGTGTGCAGCATTTGGGGACATGAGGGCCGTGTTACAGCAGTCCGGAAGGGGAAAAACACAACAGACTCCAGAAGGAGACTTTTGCATCTAAACGTTAGAGTTCTCTCTCGTGCTTGTGATGGATGATACATTTTCATTATTTTATCAGATTGTAAATTTGAACCATTTTGATTGTAAATGACAAGTAATTATAGGGATACATGTTCCCTGGTGTTGCAAAACCAGCTAAATCGAACTTAAATGAAGGAGAAACAAACTATACCATAGACACATAAGGCAATTATTAGCATTGGCCCACAGGTTTATTTTTAATCATGTTGTATAGCTGATATCCCTAATCAGTCCACCAGGGGTCGCACATGCCACATGAAAACATGCCCAGGCAATCACCTATGGTTTTACTGAGGAGTTAGACAGAGAACGGGTGGTCTACATCAGCATATAGATTTGCCACAGATGCGCTGATCACCGCCACGGACTCGCCGTTGCGTGCCAGTGCCATGAGGAGGATCTCGCTGTCTCTCCTCACCAATGTTTTGTGACGAGCTCTGATGGTAAGCGTGAACAGGAGGAAGACTTCCAGGAAGTGAAGCTTGACCGTCTTCATTTGGCAGTCTCCTTCTCTTATAATGCGGACTAAGACACAACACATTTTTAATTGCGATCCTTTTCTTCAGACACTGATGCAAAGGTCAAGAATGTAAACTTTTAGAGCAGTTATTGGGTCATGTTTAGAATTGACATACTTGATATTGAAAAGAAAAAATGTCCACTCAATTTGGTATCTAGTTTTTTATTTTTTTTATTTACTTAACATCACAAACCTTTGTACAAATTAATTTCAACCCAACCAAAACTCCTTGGCACAGGAACCAAACACCCTCCTCTAGAGAACCGATCCTCCACCACACAACGAGTTCATCCGCTTGCAGCCACTACAAACGGGTAGTGCTGCGGGAAGTCATGGATGACCTTCAGGGCTTCAGTGTAGAGTTCTAAGTCTGCGGGATGAGCGAACAGAACACGGGTTAGAACCTCCACGTATGACTGCGGCTGTTATTGAACAAATAAAGCAAACCTACCAAAAAGAATCCCCTTGTCCTCACGCAGCACGTTGTAGGTGGTGGCCATTATAGCGCCTTTGTTTGACACCATGCCAATCACCTCCACGATGCCGCTCAGCTCTTCCTCGAGCTGGGGAAATAGATTAAGATTAAAAAGGTTATCATACCATCTTGATTGATGGTAAAAAAGGTATTAATTATGAACATAAACTGATTGTTTATGTTGAAGTAATTTAAACCATTTTGTCTCAGGTTTTAAATCTGAAACGATGCACTGTGACAGATTTTTGGTTTGTTATGAAACTTCTCCATTTTAGTTTGATTTTCCTCATCTTTACCCAGCACACATAAAAACATTCCACTGCAGACAGAGGGAGCTGAAGGAGAGATTACACTCGGGTTCATAGTTTACTCTCCACATACTCTACATGCCTTTTTACAAATAAAAAAAACAAGGACATCTAAAAACAAGGATGAAGTAGGTTTGGAAGTCCACTGAGTGCTACATATGCAATCTGGGAGTGTGGCTGAGATTTAGTGTGCAGACAGAACTTGATCCTGTGAAGGACCCCAGAAGACCAGCTCCACACTCAGCAGGTCTGCACATACTGAAATATCGAGTTTCTTTTGTATGTAATGACAAATAAACAGTAATAACTAACACATGACAGACACGCGTAACGTACCTGGGTACATTAAAGGGAATATGGCTCACTGGCTGTCTCACCTTCTTTCCTCTTTAGTAAGAAATGGTTCATATTCTGAACGGTGTGGACGGAACGAAACCAACGCTTTATGAACACACTGCAGACATGAAGGATCCATGACGTCACACATGTTCCCTCTGTGTGAAGTGTATGTAAAAAAGTAGCTCAACACACAAGTTAAGCTAGCAGGAATCAGAAAGTGGATTTACTCACTGGATCGTTTAGTTCAACTGTTGCAATCTTTCCTTCTCCATCCGCGACAGTGAACGTTTTCCCGGTGGGGTGAACCTGGCGGAGCGGGAGAGAAGCGCTTCGCATTTAGCCGTGGCTTAATACCCATGCAAGCAACTAAGGTAACATACCGAAGCAATACGGACCTTTTCCACACGCCCAACGAAACAGACCGGTCTACTTATGTACTGCGTCAACATGGAGCAGGTTACTCTTGGTTTGGGGACATCCAGTATACCTGCCATCTTTACGCGCTTAGCTCTATGGCGTTACTCGAGTCCTTACGAAGTAATATAGCGCGGGAAATATTCAGTTATACATTGTGTCACATCCCGCTCTCGCGGGCGGGGTTACTAGATTCACGTTGAAAACCAGCTGGGTTTAAAATAACGGCAAACGCAGGAGATCAAATCCAGCGCCCCTAAAGTTTATGACGACATATCCGCTGTGCTCTGGCATTTCTTCCCCGCAAAAAAGAAGTTAGCTAATTGTTGCCGACAACGTCACGTGGGTAGGAACTGTAAGCAGTGTTAATAGTTTCTACACGGTCCATATTATGGCCAGTGACGTCAGCGTTAGAACAACACGGGTGGTATTGCAGTTAAAAGTACTGACAGATTATTGGGTTGTACCGTGTATTTTACGATAATTAGTGGGCCCATGCCAAGCTAACGCGGAGCAAATGAAGCGGAACTTACGTAAAGTAAAATTCATGAACTAATTGACCTCAGGACGAGAAGACACAACGACAGTAAGACCTTCGTTTAATGGACGTATTTAGCTGTATTCATCCACTTTGAGTTAATATATACAAATATATCAACACGTGTTTAATGTAATTAAGCGTCGAGAATAAACAGTTCACGTGTGAGCGAAGCTAACATTAACTAATGAAATGTCTAAAGCTCTCAAGGTTGATCACACAAACACTGTCCCACCCGCTAATGTCTTCTTGTCCTTCTTCACACAGGGCATCATGTTCAGCTTCCTGGGACTCCGCAAAGACCCAAAGAAGTCCCCCCCCGAGAAGGAAGCAGAGGGGGGCTTCGTTCTCATCGGTGAGAAACACAATCTCGTTTCATTTTCATTTGGCAGTTTGGCATTTAAAAGTCCTCTTTGTTCAAGGAGCACTATTTTAGTCTGTACATGTTCAATAAAAACAGCAGGCGTGGTCGGTCTTTAAGAATCTTAACTCAAGGTCCCCTTATGTGTTAACTTATGAATATAATAAACGGAAGCAAATACAGTTTAACAATATTCATTAAATACAAGTCTAATCCGGCCCAACATAAACTCTGACACATTACAAGCTCTGAGTGATCCATGTACCACACGGAGGCCAAACCCGCTTAAATCACACTGCACTGCTCACCTGTGTACACGGCAAATCACTGCAAAACCAACCAACCCGTTAGTTCGCACAAGATCAGGTTGTCTACCCAGAGCACTGCAGAAGGTACCGGGGAATATAAGGAAAGTGACCAAATGACAAACAAACAAAAATTAAAGTAGTTAGTCCGCTCTTGTATCTCTATCATACGAGGAACAAAATACAATGGACCAGGAACGGACCAACTACGGAAAACAAAATTAAAACTAATAAAGGACAGCAGGTAGCAGGATGATGACTGCAACACAAGAATACAAAATTACCACCAGCAAAGAATTTTAATTCATACACTTAAAAAAATACTTAAAAGCACAACATACCTGTTGTGTCGAACTCCCGCCCCCAGTCATTCATTCTCTGCTTGGATCAGCGCCTCTCATCCCGATCCTGCCATGCAAAGTACCTTAAAATATGCAACCGGCATGTATGAAAAATCAACATAGAAACATATTTACCCAATCACAAAGAAATGGGGATTTCCCCACACTGCTGTGGGTGGCAACACTCTTGAGGCACAGCCTTGAACTCAGAGCGCCACCCCATGGTGCCACCTGCTACATACAGATGGATCTTACATCAAGCCCACCTGTCATCACATGACAGTCAATGCTTCGGTCACATGACAACCCAGCTATAACTGTGCGAGGTACAGGTGTCCAGACAATGGAAAAAAAAAAAAAAACTTTACCATGGCCCTGCTTGAAACACAATTCGATTGGCAGTTGTGTTATCCTACCCTTGGGATTTGCCTTTCCGTTTCATTACAACGGAAATGCGTGTATACAGAGTTATTTCTGTCTCTACACTTAGCTTGTGGGTTTGATCGGAGGAGAACCAGGGTCGGAGCCCAGCTTTGATTAATGCATCAAACTGAGCTCGCCCTCCAGTCAGCATTGGGTCCCATCCTGGCTTCTTAACGCGGTGAATTGCTGAGGTCTGTGAGGTGAATGTTTTCTTCGCTTCTGTGGCGTCAGGCTGGTCTCAACTGAACAGAAGAGCTCCTCTCCACAGTCTGTGGGGTCCAGTCGGGTCAGAAAACAGTCGCTCCAATGTTTCCTGACACAACATCTGCTGAATCAAGCAGAATGATATCATCACATAGTAAAGATAGAGCATTAAAAAACAGTGCTATGTTCTTTTTAATGTATCTTGGAGACATATGTAGGATATCAAAAGATAAATACCAGATGACAATGAGTAACTAGGTATAACTATAGAAATATGCCCTTTAAATGACTTACAGTCATTTAAATACTAACAGTCAGGCGTTCCACTATGACATAAAAAGGGCTTCTGATGGAAGTAATCTGCCAACATTTCTCAATGAATTATGTTTTGTTGTTTTTAAGTATAATAATTGATTTCTGGCGCTGTAAAACTTTAAATTTTTTTCATAGGAATATAGTTGCTAAATTGTATTATCTGCTGTTTTGACTTTAACACCAGTTTCAGATTTTTCCAAGTACACCTTGAAGCTACAGTCGGGCGCCCATAAGCGGTTTCAGGAGTCGTGTGTGTGTGTGTGTCACCTAACGTTACTGTAAATGTACTTTGCAGCAAAGCAACTGAACTGTGAATGAAGCTTCTTAAGCAGTTTTTATCCGCATTTGTCGATTCTAAGAGAGCATAGTTTCTCTTTCAGTTCAGTAGGAACGATTCTAAATACAGTGTACAGCTAATACAAGACGTCAGCAGCGTTCTCTACACGGCTACTTTCGGTTTCTCCGAACTGCACTAATAGCACGACTATGGAGAAATACCCCATATGACCCCAAAACTGTTCCTTCAAGAGTCGAAAGGCTCAGAGGCTGCAGCGTTGGAAGATGCCCAGTTGTTTCCACTCCACTTGATTACTAATGTTGCTTTGGCTGGTGGAAGTTTTTTTTTTTTCAACTATGATACTTTTTTCGTAGACAAATCGTCATTGATTAGTCACAGACTAAGATGATCTCAGCTAACGGGGGATCAAAGGGTTGGAGATACCGTCTATGCACACACAGAGAGGCCTTTGGAGTTCGTTGAGTCCCTGAGGAAGGCAGCTTTCTTCCATCTGAAAGCGCAGACAATGACATCAGTGTGAATGAGTTCAGTCACTGCGCCGCCACCCCCCCCCCGATATAATGGTAGCGGAAACTGTGTCTCAACGAGGGAGATCCGATGAATGGATCAATGTTCAGCCAACCACGGTTCCTAATCTCAACCCTCTGCTCCAGATATCTGCATTTGCTCATTCTCAGTAGTGGTGGTGCTTTTAAATCAATTATGCTGGAAATCAGTCCGCTTTTAGGAATAGCAATTCCATTCCAATGCAAACCCCCAGGCCCGGAGGTCTGATACCAGAGCAGATGCTGTCATCCCACAGGATGGGACCATTGATTGTGAAAAGGGAAGCCAATTCTAGGGTGCCTCATACCTGCATTCTCGCTAGTGACCACCAGGTGGTGACTCCTCTGGTCCTATAGAAGTCTATGAGAAAATGACTCTACTTCTCTCTTGATCTACTCCCTCAGTACAGTCCAACTAAGATCACACAGCAATCTCACGGCCGGTAGCATCGGTGTACTGTGAAGATGTTTTTGTTGATCTTCTCCCAGTTAAAGAGAGCTTTCTTTTCTTCGCTTTATAACTGCACCTTTTTTGGGGCAAATAGTTTTTTCTTCTTTACAACACACTGATGGGAATGACTTATTTTGAATAACCTGTTAATCTGCTTTGTGCCCCGTGCGTCCTGCAGGAGAGACAGCTGACGAGCAGAGGACGAAGACCACCAACATCGCCCACCCCTCGACAAACGTTGTCGTGCAGCGGGTTAGGGTGAGCACGCTTTTTCACTTCACGGGGGCTCCCCATGACCTGTGTGTGTGTGTGTTGGGCATTTCAGGTGAAGAGCATCACCAGCTGGCCTCGTGCTGCTCAGTTTGTACGGAACCATTTTCCCTGACGAGCTCAGCCTGCATGATGACATAGAGCTTCATTTGAAGTATAACAAAACGCTTCAAAATCCAACCAATTATTCCAACTATTAGTACATTATTTAAGCTCTCTGAATCTGAAGGGTGATTCACGCCAGCACCCTGTTACGTTCACCGTGGTAAAACTGCATGACTGGATAGACCTCGGTAAGCCTCAAAGGGATCAAAGAGCCCTCATTGGACAGAATAGTAACCAACAACTATTGTGTTGATGGATGTATGCTCGTAACATGCCTGTTTACTTTTCCATGGTAAATGCGGGACACTTTATGTATTTACATTTTGGACTGTTTGGACAAACCATTTGAAAAAGTCACTTTTGGCTCTGTGAAAGTTTAATGGGCCTTTTTGTCTCACTAGTTATTTTTGAATGGCAAAAATGATTAATGACAACCCTGATTAACTCGTCTGTGTCCTCACAGTCATCCTGTCCAGCTCCCGCCCCACCGCCCGCCACCAGGCACCCCGCGGCGTGCCCTGCCATGCCGGCGGCGGGGGAGGCCTCGGCTCTCCCGGACCTCCTCGGGGACGTCCCCTTCACTTTGGCTCCCCATGTGCTGTCCGTGCAGGCCGGGCTTCCCCGTGTCCCCGACGTGCTGCTGTCCCGGGACGTGAACTACAACCTGGCTAACTTCCAGTACGACTTCACCTTAGAGAACTCGGTGCTTCAGAGCGCCTAGTCTGATGGTCCGTGTGATCCTGCAGGATTATGAACAAGTAGAAGCTTACAAAACCTTTTGAAACTTAGAATACTCTCTGTTATTGGCTCCTGTGCATTCTTAATGTGGTGGCTGTGAAATCACAGGACTAAACTTTGGAAAAGAAGCGTTGGCTTTTGACTGGCTGTACCAGTGATGGCAGGTAGAGCTGTGGAAGACCTGAGTGGACGGGTGCTTTACTGGTTTCTTGTTGCTGCTGGTTACCTTGGTGACACATATGAGACTGCTTATGATCGGTTAAGACGTCCTGACCATTGGGTCTGCACATGACTGGATGACTGTGGTCTTTCTTAGTGGTGATGACCTTTGCACTCAGAACTTGTGACAAAAAGGTCAAAAGGGGTGGAGCCAAAAGTACTGTAAGTGCACTAAGTGCACATTTAAGAGACCCTGCTCAATAAACTGGTGGATGTTTGACAAAGTGATGTCACAGATGGCCTCTGTTGTCTCTTTTTAAATTCCGTTCCTTTGGTAACCTTCGGATTATGTGGTGCGAGGGTCTCCGGTTTTAGGTCTCAGTCTTCGGGTGGGTCTGTAGGCGTTCATTTGCAAGCACAGGTAGAGTTTCCGGTGCCATTGGGGGGGGGGTCGTGTCGGGGGTCAGGGCTCAGTTTCATGTCTGCAGTCCGCTCACTTCCCTTGAGCGTTCAAAGCCACAATTTTGTATAACTTTCCTGCAAATGTGTGTTACTTTATTATTCGTTGTTTCTGTATTTTCATCAGTCTGTGCTTTCTTGTGTTCACGGAACATATTTTGCATTCTACTGAATGCAGTAAAATCTAGTCAGTGTCTACAAGGTTTACTTCCACTGAAATGGTTTAAAGCCATGGCAGCATCTGGTGTACTCTGATATAAAGCTGTATTATTCATATTTTAACATTTAGACATTGGATAGTGTTTGAATCTGCTTTCAAATAGGCTGAAGAGGGCTGTGGTTCTCCTCGTACTAATTTACTTCCCTTACATTTTTTTTTTTTTTAAAAGAACAAAGAATTTCTTTCACAAACTTTTGTTCCCATTTAAAGTCATCCGCTTCCTGGTAGGCTTTTATTTTGAAACGGTTTGCTTGTCTATTGAAATGAATGTATGATACTATGGTTTAGAACACGTATGTCAAACCCGCGCAGCCTGGACGGCCTGCCGGATGACTTTGCTATTCTTACAATCACAGAAAGGTCCCCACACACGCGCGGACACTTCTGACAGACGAGAGGCTGGCCGTATCTGGTTTTATTATATCGATTTGTTTTGCACGCCGGTTGGATCGTCAGCGCCACCCCTCCCTATGATTTCAATGGTCTGGCCCGCGTTCGATAGAAATGAGCAGTATCTGGCCCGAACCTGAAATGATTGGTTTAGGAGGATGACCAGATTAATGTGTGCCTCCTGATTTGATTCGTGTTCTTGATTGACTCCACCAGGCTGCTTTTCTAATTACTTACTTTGTAAATATGAGCTCTTGAAATAAACTTTTGACAAGAAGAGGAAATACATTTGGATAAAATCATATTTTAAACTGTAATTTACCAAATATTGTATTTGTACCCTTTTGATTGTTTGTACAGAGTCCAATCTTCAAACCTGCTGTGCCTTTTTAATACGCAATGTTTAAAAGGCAGCATAAGGCCTCCTGTTAATAACTCTTACTAAGATCTTCCCCTTCCACCATGTTACTCCTTGAGTTACAGTTGATATGTGAGGCTCACTTATTCAGCCGGTTGTAGCATGCTTTACCAATAAATCATAAGAGTTTGACTGTCTATGATGTCTATATATGTCACATGCATTACATATTTTAATCTTAATGGAAAGGTTGGACCCCCTTTTGCCTTCAGAACTGCCTTAATTCTTGGTGACATACTTTCAACAAGGTGTTGGAAGCATTCCTCAGATTTTGATCTCTGAGGAATGTTTGTAGCTGACAGGAGTGGCAAGACCACACCAGGTGCCACTCCTGTCAGCTAAGAACATGAAACTCAGACTACAATTAACACAAGCTCATCACAAAGACAAACGTTGCCTAGTCTGATGAGTCTCCATTTCAAATGAGTTACTGCATTATGTCAATATGGACCAAAACCTGTGAGGAATGTTTCCAACACCTGGAACCTGTTGAAAGTATTCCAATAATTAAGGCAGTTCTGAAGGCAAAGGGGGGTCTAACCTTTTACTAGCAAGTGGACCTAATAAAGTGGCCGGTGACCATGAATGAATACGCACACACGCACACACACAATGTCATCATGGCTCTCTTGAGTTTCTCGTTATTTCTAGTTCTTCAAGTCAGATTTTTCTCTGAGTGATTGGAACAGATACTTCTTTGTTACAAAAAACATTCATGAAGTTTTTTTTTTTTTATGACTTTATTATGGGTTAACAGAAAGAGTGACCATCTGCTGGGTCAAAAATATACATACAGCAGTGCTAATATTTGGTCACATGTCCCGTGGCCATTTTCACTTCAATTAGGCGCTTTTGGTGGCCATCCACAAGCTTTTCGTTGAATCTTTGACCGCTCCTCTTGACAGAATTGGTGCAGTTCAGTTGAACTTGATGGCTTTCTGACATGGACTTGTTTCTTCAGCCTTGTTCACATGTCCTCAATGAGATTTAAGTCAGGACTTTGGGATGGCCATTCTAAAACCCTAATTCTAGCCTGATTTAGCCATTCTATTGCCACTTTTGATGTGTGTTTGGGGTCATTGGCCTGTTGGAACACCCAAACTGCACCCAAGACCCAACCTTGGGGCTGATGATTTTAGGTTATCTTGAAGAATTTGAAGGTAATCCTCGTTCTTCATTGTCCCATTTACTCTCTGTAAAGCACCAGTTCCAGCAGCCTTAAGATGCCCCTTTTGGAGCAAGAGCTTCCTTCTTGCACGGCAGCCTCTCAGTCCATGGAGATGCCAAACACGCTTGACTGTGGACACTGACACCTGTGTTCCAGCAGGTTCTAATTCTTGGCAGATCTGCTTTTTGGTGCTTCTCGTTGACTCTTCACCCTCCTGACCAATTTTCTCTCAGCAGCAGGTGATGGCTTGCGTTTTCTTCCTGATGGTGGCAAAACAGTGCCGTGCACTTTATACTTACAAACAAGTGTTTGCACTGTTGCCCTTGGGACCTGCAGCTGCTTTGAATTGGCTCCAAGTGACTTTCCTGACTTGTTCAAGTCAATGATTCGCTTTTTTAGATCCATGCTGAGTGCCTTTGACTTTCCCATTGTAGCGTTTGTGGGCGTTTGTATCCAATATTTAAACGGCCTCAGAGACGTTACCAGTCACTCATAGTCACTCACAAGAAGTTAAGAGGCCATGAAGCTCATTTCATTGACACAACTTTCTGAGTCACCAAAATTGCTAATTCATGTTGCTGTATGTATATTTTTGACCCAGCAGATTGTCACTTTTTCTGTTAACCAATACTAAAGTCATAAAAGAACCAAACCTTTTTTGCATGTTGAATGTTTTTTGTGACAAAGATGTATCTGTTCCATGCCATGATGAAATTATGTTCTTTACAAGTGTATGTAAACTTTTGACCACAACTGTACACTGACTCTTTTTTTTCTTTACTTGGGATTATCTGTTATAACTTGCTACTTGTTAACCTGAAACCTGTTTGCCTTGGCTGGGGACTTGTTGGTCTTGACTCAGTCTTACAACAAGACAATAACCTTTGACATCATTTGCATAGTTTTTTCCCTTATTCAGTATGAAAAAGGGACACACAATTTAACACACCACTTTCTGTTAACCTAGATGACACCTTGTGTGTAACCACCAATCTCCCCGGAAATAATCTCTGCAGACATATCAATTTAAAATATGAAAACAAATCATGGTCATGAAAATCATGTTTATATTCCTCTATGTAATGAAAAAAGACCATTCACTTTGTTGCCCTTCAAATGTTGTCTTGATTTTTTGTCTTGAACATAATTTTATACAATTGGAATATTGTATACTATTTAAATATCCGTTACTGTTGTGCTCATAATACTACATTACCTTATGACCTTATGGCAGTGCTCACCAATTTATAGAAGACCATGAAATCATCTCTTTGACCTGACCCTCATTGACATGAGTGAAAGCTTCCATTCCTCCAATGAGCAACCGACGATCACATCTAGGAAGTAGTCCAGCACCTATCAGAGTGCTCGTAAAGACTTGGCCCCTCCCACGGTCCACAGCTCTGTCAACTGACGCCTTTCTGAGAGGTGTCATGACCGTGTAAACGCAATGAAAACAATGTTTCGGACAACATTTAGAATCTTAACTACTTTAGCTGGGGAAGTTAATCGAAATGGATAGCTAAGAGGTCTCGTGGGGGAAAATATTTTCGTGAAGGTCCATTTCTTAGCGGTTCAACAACACATGGCGTCACATTCACATGTCAGCATCCCCAGCAGCAGCCGACTCACCCCGGCAGCGGGTCACACGCAGCGGCTCCCCAACGACCTCCAGCTGTGCCCGTAACGTCAGCGGGTACCGCGCCGCGGCCCGGCTGCAGCCGCCTCTCCGCCCCCCCGGTGCACAGCCCAACCCGCCCTGCTTTCTGCTCCTCGTCAGCAGCCGGGAGCAACACAGGACCGTCGACGTCCCGTTGCTCCGGGTGGAAGCGGCTCGGACGGCAGGCTGGACCCCAGGCAGAGGCTTTCACCTACCGGAACGCTCTCCAAAGGTAAGTTCGTCCCTGGAAGTACATTTAAGTTGGTCGTGTAGCACAGCCGTTATCAAAGGGGTAGCTGGATGCTAACTTATCCGTCATGCCAAACTACCTTTAAAAACATGACATTTGGAGGTTTCGGCGATTTGCTATTCTGATTCTTGAATTTTAAAACGAGAACCACGAGTGTTTTCAAACAATTACACACCAGTCTTATGTTCGGCCGGTGCACAGTTCAACATCTAACATCACATATACATAAAAATGTCATTTTTAAATACATTTTCCCACCATTCGCCATTAGGCGCCACGTTGTGTTTTAGTGAGAGAAGTTAGTAGAAGTCAAAGGCAAAGCAGCCAAATATGATATCATTTTTATTGTAATGGGTGCACGTTTGTATATAAAATGTGCCCCGAATTTTAAATCGGACAGTCATTAATCAGACTGAGGCTGACATTTTCTTCTTTTACTCGTATACCTTTGTTAATAAGCCCGACCACCCAAAAATGTCGGGTTTTCCTTAGCTTACTCAAGAGACCGCTGTAGGTTACTACGACGATACTGTCCATATCAGGGCGAGATGTAAACGGATTGGCTTGCTTTCTAGTTGGATCTAAATACACACGGGTTGTGATCATTAACGCTGTTACGTTACACATCGAGATGGTCCAAAATACGATGCTCTCAAAACATGACCTACTTTGCACAGAACCTCCTGTCGTGCAAACGTGTTGCAACTCCGATCATAGTATCGCTAATATTTTTAGCACACTTTGCTGTTACGCTGTTTCTGGTACGCGGTATTCTTAGTTATTGCGTTACACTGGCGGCACCCTGAGTAGGTGAAGGCTGTGGATGTCTGCTGGGGATGATGCAGCTACTCTGTCGGAGATAAACAAGGATCACTGATCCACATCACGCGGATGACTGGCCAGGTTTTCACAATTTGACATGGCCACCGAACGCTTCTCATTGAGCTGTTACATTTAGCTTGTTTACCATCATTGAAACGGGAGAAAGACGTCATCAGCAGGTATCTCTTTGGCAACATTGGGGCCTAGCAGCCTGTGAGACATAAACAGAGCCCTCCAGGCGAGCAGGCCAGCCTGTGCAACTGCATGCATGGAGAAGGACTATTTGGCAAACAAACAACAAGACAACGCTGTCAACAAAAAGAATGCAGTGTTGTATATGCAGAAAATGATCTGGCGATCTTGCTATGACATCGTCACCGTGCACATTTGTGACGAGCTGTTAGCTCTAATTTGTTACGTTTGCTTGACTTTGCATCTTTTCTCCCCTTATATCATGGCCGGTAGCAGCGGCGTGTTTAGGGAACTTTGGTCGATGGTGCCAAGGTGGGGCATGAATTTAAGCCAGGCCTGGCACTGAGCATGTTGTTTTTGGCACCTGCCAACAACAAGTTAACGCATGCAGGGAAGGCTTATCGAAGGCTGCTAAGCTCTCGCTGTCGCACATATAACACAGATCGATGAGGTGACATCATTTCCTGATTTTATGTCTGCGGTTATCGGTTTTAGCCTTGTGGTCATCAGTCACTGTTGGTCTTTTTGACGGGTCAATACAAAACGGAACGGAACTGCAATAAACAACCATATATTCATTCAGTGTTTCTCCAATAATTTTGTGAGACTGGGGTGTAGGGTTAGGGTTAAATATATTGACACAGAGCAAAATAAAGAGGCTAGATCTTTAACAGATCTTTGTCAACAATTAGTTTTACACATGGCTTGTAGATAGATATAGATATGAATGGGGATGACCACAAAGCACGGTCATGGCGGAGCGGGTTCTGTGCTTTAAGGCACACGGCCGTGTCCTGTGCGACCTTCACACCCGGACCCGGACGGATGCTGCTCCAGAGCGGGCGCGTTGCACCCCAACGGTGGAGTTATGCCCGTAAAGGGCCAGCCGGGGGTCTGACCTGCTGGGTCCAAACCCCCAGGAAACCCTGCGTGGACCAAACCTGAGAAGTTTCAAAACATTTCGGGTTCCATTGTCAAACTGGTGGGACAACACCAAGCAGGAAGTGACAGGCTTGTGAACATCACTACACAACCTGATCTTTTTCTCAGGACTGCTGGATGTGTAAAACAGGGTTATGTTGCCAACACTCTAACTTTGAGCCAATTGTACTGTACAGCAGATGTGTTTGATTCATTAGCTGCCCTCAAGTGGTGGAAACAATGAGTTAACGTAGTAAACGTATATTCTTGTATAAAAAAACACTGCAACCCTGGTTCCACCTTTCCTCATGTTTGGCTGTTGAAAGTTCCAAAGATGTTATATAGACTCAGTTTAGAGTTTGGGGATTTTGGGAGTTTAAATGTATTTTTATTCTTTTTGTTTGATTCATCTCACAAAATATATTTATATTTACCTTATTAAAATGATAAATTACTGTGTTCAGAGCACTCTACCAGATAATAGTAGGGGCAGTAGTCAGTCCACTGGTGCCCTTTCATACACGGACATATTTGTGCACGTGTTGGTGATTTGTAACTGCATTTTCGGGGGGGATGCCCCTCTGTTAAAATTGTAAGGGAAACACTGTAAGTGGTTATAGAAAATAATCAGTAGAATAACTATCCCCCCAACTGTGGAAGCTTCAGGCTAATTGAATTTGTTTGTGTTAGATGTGACTTTACTCCACCTTCCTTACTATAAACCTTCTACTGCCATTGGTGGTGTATGCGTGAAAAAAGCCCCACGGTGTAATATTGAATGACATAAATTGACACATTCTATGCACAGAAACGCCAGACCTTTGAAACAGTCTTTTAAGTAGAGCCCTATAAATAACGTAAGAACCCCCCCCCCCCGCCCCCGCCCTCCTTTGTGTCTCTCTGGTTTGAGATGGTTGGTTGAATCCCAAGTCGCACCGGATGGCCTTGTCATCCCCCAAATCTATTCAGCATCAACCAAACATGAAAAGGAATTCCTGACGCAACAACGCGGCAGACTCATAAATCACGCGAGGCTTTTGGCTCATCTGTTCACAAGTACAGGAATGTTGTTCCTGTAATCAGCAGAGAATGGTACGCTCGGTTCTAATGTCTGGTACGGGCTTGTGTCTCTGTCCAACAATTACAGGAAGTCCAAACGTATTGCTCAAACCTCAAAGGTCTGCTGGAGTGCCAGTGAAAAGTCCCCAAGTATGATATGAACCCAAGAACATGTGACACAAGACCTTCCAGCCACTGAACGTTCTGCACTGCAATTATGCCACATTTGCACTATCGTGGCATTAATTATTATAATTATAACCTTGCTGCTTAATATATCATGTATATTTCATACTGTATTCTTATTTATACATAACACATATTCTGCACTGTGTCTTCTTTCTGACACTTCTGGATAGATGTGCTTGTTTTCTCAGTACCTGTAATATGTGCACTGACAATAAAGTTGACTCTAATCTAACAGCTGGGAACCTTTGTTCATTGGCTTGGTTTGTGTCCCGGATCAGGTGGGATCAGATCAGGACAATAAAAAAAGGAGCAAATATAACTTCTATAGCTGTCCTATAAAAATCCATTTCAAGTCTAAATGGTAAAAAATTTGGATTGGGTTTTGGATTGGGAAAGTAAATAAAACAAATCATTAGTAGTTTTAACTAACTCATAGTAAACCACTTGCAATTAATCTCTAATATCTATTTATATTGTTGTCAAATAAAATGTTTTTTTTGGAAATATTTTCTAACGCATCATAACGTTAATCTTTACCTTTACCCAGTACTCTTTTTCACAAAGCAGCCTTAACGCATCTCAATGTAACGGTACAGAGCGCTGGTTCGTTAGCCGTTAGCTGTTAGCGAGGCTGCTGTCGAACCCGGAGTAGCTGTTCACTTGGAAACGTTGTTAGACGCTGATAGAAAAGCCCGATGGCGGTTTGCGTTAAACTGCCTGTAGTAATCCAATAATCACATCGGGGCCGAAGGGATCCGTGCGGATTGTGAAACGGTCCTTTTCACCAGTAATTGGTTAACGACTCAGTCAGGAACTGTTCACACTGCAAGCAACAGTGTCCAAAATCCAAATGCCTCTTTATTGGTTGCTTATAGTCTGGCAATAATGCAGTCTCTACACACATCATAGAATTGGCTAGCTAGTTTTAGGTGACATCTTGTCATCTCAGCCGTGGTGTAGTGAATGGACGTGAAAGTCATTTTTCGGTCAGCTTTGCGTATATATATCCGCTTCTAAATTTGTTCCTCTGTTCGTCTTTATTGTACACTGTGTTCGGTAAGTCGCTCAACGCAGCCATCACCGACACCGTGTAATTCCTCTTGTATATTTTACTGGGTGATTTCTGTGGATCATTGAGCCAAGATAGCTAATATGAGCTAACATTCATTATATCGTCGCTTGTTGCCCCCCCCCCGCCCCTCCCCATATAATGGAAGGGGAAATACTGATACGAATAATATACAGCTAACCCACCTCATGACACTAATATTCTAAAATCATCAAAGACTGAAAATTCTATTTTCATGAATATGACAGTCGCCATTACTAGGGCTCAGAATAATTCTAGGTAGTTTTTATGTCCCTAAAACATCAACACTCCAATAATATACAGGCTTTAGAATCTTCTAAAAATCTGTGGTCATACCTTAGCACAAGACATTTATTTAACATAAATTAAAACACTCACATATTAATGAAGGGTGTTTCTGAGGAGCTTATAATAGACAATAACACATGATAGCGTGCCGAGTGAAGACCTGCAGCATCGGGGCCAAAACACAGAGAAAGCAATTAAAAACGAAAAATCTCAACGAAAAATTTAGTGGCAAAACCACTAAAGTCAAATTGAAAGATACTTCTGTTGAGTAGTTTAAGTGTCAAATGTAAAGGTATGGGTACCTAAAATCATTTTACAATTAAAATGAAAATTGTTTTTCTTCAGCGGCGTGATTAAAGCCACTCACTGGGGTTATGTAAGCGCACATCACCTGACAGGAAGTAGTAGGCCAGTAGGCCATTTTTATCTACTTATCTGAACAAACATGAGTGCATATTTGGTGTATTCTGTTGAGCTGATTTAACCAGCTGTTGGTTTAGTTGTGTGAATTGTGGACAACTAGAGCTGGCTGGACCTAAAATAATTCAATATATATATATATATATATATATAGTTAACACATTGCAGCCTCCTAATCACATGACCAATCCCTGCATTATTTTGAAAGCTGGTATTTCTAATTAAAAAAAAAAAAGTATTTATATTTTATTTTAAAAGTATTTCTTGCCTACAACGATTTCCAAACCGATGTAGCTGCTGTAATTTACCAACACGGTGATGATAAAAATCACGGGGCATACGAGATCAACTCGCAGCAGCGTGACAGTTTGCATCAGAGAGCGATGGGAGCAGCTCCGACTCTGCAGGCTCTGCAGACTCAAGTCAACTGAACATCTATGAAAGCTACTTCAAATGGACTATTTGTTTATATCATAATATAAAAATAACAATTCCGATCATTTAAAAAATGTTGAATATTGCAGGCAACAATTGGCCTGGCAGATACGTGTCTGCCTTCTCCTCCGTGAGTCCATGAGCTCTGTGCTGAGTCGTTATAGGCTTATTAGATGAACTGTAAGTACCGGTCTAGAAAAGCACTACCCTTTGTTGAGCTACTTAACTTGTTTGGAAGATCATGGTCATGTCTAATTTAGTTCTCTTCATGTACTTGTAAGACTGTGGATTTATAGCCAGTGACCTGCCAGAAGCCAAGTTCAACAGTTCAGTACAGGAGCCGGAACCCGATGTGGCCCTGTGACCCGATGTGGCCCCGTGTGAGAGCATGCACGGTAGTCAGGCTTGTCAGGCGTGTTTCCTCCAGACTCTGTAGCTGTTTATTTGATGGAAGAAATATAAAAATCAAGTTATGTTTATTTATTTTTACATCAAAAAACAACTCGGACTGTTTTTTATATTGTTTGTAAATGAACCTTTCTGATTTATCTTCAGTAAAATGGGTCTGAATGTTTGATGAAAGGGTGACCCCACATTGAAAGAGAGGATGAAATCATTTTTTTTGGGGTGTCAGTGGCCCGACGTTTGTTTTAATTTGAGGTTTAAGTCACTGTAGGGAAATGTTGCCGATATTCCACCTAACTGAAAGTCTGCTGTTGTACAGTAATTAGTAGTACCGGAAGCTTTTTACCAGTTTTAAATGGACCCCAAAACTAAAGAAAACAGCCCAAATACTATTTATGAGCCTTATCTATACTGTTCTAACCCTGTGTCTTCACTAGTGTCTCTTATCTTGTCTCTTGTGTGTGTGTGTGTGTGTGTGTGTGTGTGTGTGTGTGTGTGTGTGTGTGTGTAACGGACAAAATCCCAGCAGGTGCAGAGCTTCAGGACAGTTTGGACGACGGTCCTGCCTGGGAACGATCACTGCACCCTACCTCGCTGGCAGTGGCCTTGTGACCCCATGTGCACAACCCTGCTTGTTTGAAAGATAAATCCACACAGGTGAGTGACATCCACCACACCGTCTTCCTTACATGTTCTAGATCATGTTCCCTTCAGAGTCAAAGAGAAAAGAGAATGCAGGGGGTTATTGATTCGTTACGGTTCTGCGTTGTGCAGTTGATATAGCATGTACATGCCCAGTACAAAAATAGAAATACCAGTTTATTTAAGATTAAGAGTTAATGTCCTGGGCTGCCGGTGCGGGTTCTGATACTTTTCAGTCTTGGCGGACTGAAGGCGGGAGGTCTCTTCTAAAGATGCAGGGACATTTTGTGTATTGTCGGTATACAGGACACTGATATCATTATGGTAGTTGGCTCTTCGGACTCCTTCTACGTTAATGTTCAAGTATTTGAGCCGTCTTACTATGCACAGTTCAGCCGCCGAGCGGTACTTCAGCACGGTGGATTTTCCACCAAATAGACATCCCTGCAGATGGCATTCAGTTAAAGTGGAGGAAGAAGCCCCAGTAGCGGTAGGGGGCACTGTGTTGAGTCTCAGTTGATGCCCGGCCCCCTATGCCAGATCACGGGCAAAAGTCTGAATCTGAAACCAATCTGAACCAAAGTGAAGAAAATATCTGAAATTTGAGATGTGAATCTGAAAATATCTGCAACGGCAAAAGATAATACAGCGAATATCAAAAAATATATGTAGGTGAGGAATATGATGGTGACATGCATTCCACCGGTGTCGATGCACGCGCTACGAGCAGGAGGTGTTGGCATGGACCTGCGCTGTGCTAATGCTGTGAAGAACTGCAGAATTACTAGCAGGGATTTTAGTGTACATTATCAGCCTCATCATGTCGGTATGTCAGGTGTCAGAACAATGCTGATACCCAGTTGCTCCTAATATTAAAGTTCTCTAAACAATAATGCCACTCCCTTCTAAGCCAGGATCCAGTTCAACAATTGCAATTTGGGAGCCCAAATTTCTGAATCATCACCTTTTAGTATATCTCTGAGAATTCATATTCAAAGCAAATGTTACTGTTTTTGGTAGGGATGCACAAATACATGGATAAAAATGAGGAAGGTTAACAGAATTACAGAAACCGGTTAAACCGGTATACCGCCCTGCCCTACTTGACTGTCACAGCTGAGTCTTACTCTTGGATACAACTCAAGCAGAGCATCAACGTAAACCTCCCAGCATTAATGAAGAGAATATCCTTCGTTTAGATGTACAATACACAGAGCATCGTCAACTCCACAGAGAGCAGGAAGGACTGGAAGGAAGGTGAGAAAGCCAAGTCGCTTAGTAACATGAACAAAAATAAAAACAGACGACCATTATAATGTAACTTGTATTGCTCCAGCAAACTAGATGTTGTTGCCCTGGCAGCAGCAAAGGTTTTGGTTTTATAGTTGATTCAATGCATTTTTAAATTGAGATTTACAAGACATATTTTAACTGCAATTATGTAAAGGGAATAATGCTGTTAAAATCACCTTAAAGTATTTACATAAATGAAAGTGAGCAATACACTAATTTTGAATCCATTAATACATTTTGTGATTAATTGCAATAAATCCCCAAAACATTAATATGTGGTTAATCTGAATTCAAAATTGTAATCGTTGCCCAGCACTACTTTTAATCTAACCTATCAAAGAGGTAGTAGGACTTTCTTTTCTGGACAGCTCACTAAACGGCTCATTAGCCAGTTCAATTGGCAGCTCTGGAGATGAAGCGAGCCTGAATGACTATTCAGCCGCCCCATCCCCGTTTGATTGACTATACATCTCAGCTACAGCTTTTAAGTCCCTATGAAATTCAAACTAAAACAACAGCAACTACTAGACCTGTTTAACCTGCTCGTGTGTGTGTGTGTGTGTGTGTGTGTCAGAGACATGAAGGAACCCCCAGCCTGCCACTAGTGGCCCTACTCTCGGACATGTCTAAACACGTCCCAACACTGGCCCTCTTCACTACAGAAACACAAGCCATGCAGTGCTCCCAATCAATGCAGGCTCTGTGGGAAATAACTGTCATGTGATCCCTTTGTGAGGGCCAATCAAGTTCCTTGTTTCCCTCTCAGGCTGCACTTCTCAGCTTTTCCACAAGAGACAGTGGAACGTGATTGTGTTTGCCACACTGTTAGAAGTGACATCCCACACTAGTGTGTCCAGTATAAGCTCAATATGTTACATAGCAGCACTCTGTAAGTGCAACACAAATAGTTTTCAGGTTGGATACTTCGTCATTGATGCGTGTTTCCGCATCAGCACATATTACATTACAGGTCATTTAGCAGACGCTTTTATCCAAAGCGACTTACATTTCACTTAAAACCCATGGCGCCAAGTCTATTTATAAGAAGGATGAAACTAGCGAGAAAAAAACGCAAAAGGTGTATAAATGGAAGTGTAAATATTTTGTCATGTACATCATATGCAGTGCCAACATACAATAAATGAACCAGTCATTAAAAAAACAAACATTTAAGACAACATGGTGGACAGCAGAGGCTCTGGGGTGTTTTCTCAGTCCAAATCTGTTAAATGTTCACACGGTCCACTTTGGTCAGAAAAATAAAACTAAGATTAAAATTTTGCTCTATGACAGTGCCCGACTCATTCAGCCATACTGCTAAAAACAACCCCTTGGAAACAGTTGTCCACAGCTGGAAGACGAGGACACACGTTTCCTAATCGAACTCTCCCTGCGTGTTCTGTAACAGTTCTCCATGTCGAAGTCGGCCCAGATGCAGCTGTCCAACATCACAGTGCCAAAGCCGTCTATCTCCAGGGTGCCCAGCAGCATGGAGGGCATCAACCACGAGCTGGAGAAGGTCTTCATCAAAGATAACGGAGAGAAGGAGGAGCTCAAAGTAAGGCTCCGCCTCATTTTCAATTTACGCACAAAGACTCGCCTCTGATTGCTGTCGTTCTCTCCCTTCTCCCTCCTGTCGGACTCTGCAGTCCCTGGAGGTCCCCGATGGGCGGCGGGCGCCCTTCCCTCCCCAGCAGCGCAGCAGCAGCACCCACAGTGTGGACCCCCAGACCCCCATGGCTCCCGGCCGCTCCAGCAGCTGCTCCAGCCTGTCGCCCTGCCCCTCACCCGCCTGCCTGCCCGGGTCACACGAGGGCAGTCCTTACTCCACAGAGGACCTGCTCTACGACCGGGACAAAGGTAACGAGAAAGAAATGAAGGGAGGATCCTAGACAGGTAAACGGCAACACAAATCAAAGTATTAAAAAAAATAAAAATACCTTTACGAGGGAAATACATTTAGTTAAGTTTTAGGTTTCTGGAAAATTAAAATGGAGAAATGACACCTAAAAATTGCAGATATATTTTTAAATGAGAACCAAGCGACCAAAGTCTTTTTCTTTCCGCGACCTCTATACCCTCAATTGGATAAAAGGCAAACAAACTTTTCCCAGAGGACAATATTAATTAATTAATTCATATTAATTGAGATCAATGAGTATGTTAAAAAAACATGTGTGCAGAATATTTGTTTCCTACCAAGTAAAACCAGCATGTTACTTATGTAAAATATGGAATCCCTCTGATGAGCAGCGTGTGACGTCTGAAAGCTCTTAGTGAGGATGTGCGCCTTTTGAACGGTACAACAGACAGTAGAGCCAAGATTAAGATTCCTCACAAAGTACTGCAGCGGATAAAATAAGGTATACTCAGAAGTTGGGACGGAGTGAATCATTGTGTGTCTCTGTTGACAGACAGTGGAAGCAGCTCCCCACTGCCCAAGTTTGCCTCCTCTCCCAAACCCAACAACAGCTACATGTTCAAGCGGGAGCCGCCAGAGGGCTGCGAGAAGATTAAAGCCTTCGAGGAGATGAGGTACAGACAAACTGAAACACCTGCCACATCCTCCCAAACCGGAATTAACTGCATGTGTTCCTCCACAGTTCCAGGCAGTCCACATCGGCGTCGGCCCCCCTCTTCTCCTGCCCCGACAAGAACAAGGTCAACTTCATCTCGACGGGCTCGGCATTCTGCCCCGTCAAGCTCCCCGGCTCCCTGCACCTAATGCCGGCCTCGGGGCCGCAGGTAGAGGCGACCGGCAGCTCGGCCCCCTGGGGCGCTGCTTCGCTCCACGGAGCCCCCCACTCAGGTCTCCACAAGCACCAGCACAGACACCGCCCCGCCCGGCTCGCCCTCAGAGACTGCAGACCCCCCGACAGACAGCCCGGCCATCAGCTAGAACGGAGCAGAGCTGGCCTTTGCCCTCCTGATCCCCCACCACCACCCACAAAACCCTCCCCCTATGCTTCGCCGAGGGGGGGGGTTGTCTCCATCTCTCTGTGCTGATCCCCCCCCCCTCTTCTATCTCTGCATGACGTAGCCACAATGTCCCAAACAAAGCACCGCCGCCACCACCAAGGCTCTCTACGTTCCTGCATTATGTCCGAGGTTAAAGGTGATGATTGGCAGGCATCGGAGGGAAGAAACAGAGGGGGTGGGGGGGGCATGCATTTTAAAATTGGTAGTATATTTCTGATTAAATTATGTGTTGTGTTCTGTTTCAACATTCGCAGTATGAATAAGCTCTTCTAATCATATATTATATACACATATATCATCTCTATGAAAAGAAAAAAAAATTGCTTGTGTAAAAAAAAAAAAAGATCCCTGACTGTGCATTGCTGTGTTTAAGTAGCTGTACTATTCAGGATTATGTTTACACTGTCCAGGTCACATTGTCAAACCCTGTCTAAAAAATGCAATGAGAAAATAATTTGGGCAAAGGAAAAAAAAAAGGCCTCAAATTGGTTGCACAGTTTCTGCATCTGGCCTTCAGGTATTTCCCAATCAGAGTCTATACTCAGGTACATTTGGAATATAAGTCCATACGAATATCTGCAGCCTGACGAAGCAGATCATATTCACCGTCATTGATTTAGTCTCGATCCCAAACGAATCATTGCTTTCATCATTGCTGACAGAGACTGAATGTGTTGCCGGGGAACCAGAAGAGGACGGGTCAGTCGTACTGTCACGCAGATACAGTCACTCCAAAGCAGTTGGTGCAGATTGGAGATGAAGTTGTACGTTTATTCTGAGATCAAATTCATTTAGTGTGTGAGTATTTAAAAAGCAGCAACATGACATTGTTTGATGAGAATCTGTGTAATTCTAAAGGATGTTTTCCATCTGAAAAATCTCTAGTGCTCCATGAGCAAACATTTATTTTTTTGGGCAGTTAAATGGAGCGGGAGACGCATCAGGGATGTTACTTCCAAAATAGAACAAACAACCCGAAAGGGAAAAAGTCATCCAGAAGCTAAAAGGTCCAATGTGTTGGTGGTGGTGACCAAACTCAAGCCTAAAGGGAGAGTGAATAGTGGACTCTGCGTCTTCGCCCTGTAGCAATGAGCCTTTGTTTGATTAGGTAAAGGTGAATAATATGTGTAAATGTCTTTAAATCATAAACCGCAAATAAAATAATTACATGTCAAGCATAGTGCAAACGTGTCCAGACAGTATTAAATGATTGGGTCAACAGACACCGTAGCATTTCTCACTTGGTAAAGGACAGTAGGTGTTACTGCACGGTTTGCACAAACTAAAACCAGTAAAGCCATACAAGATATAGTGTCTCAACTCCAATCTGCATAGCCAAACTGTTTCAAGTATCCACATCCCTTTTATTCCATTACAATACGAGACGTAAATAGATTCATGTTGCTCCATTCCGAAAATATCTTTTTTTTGATTGCAGTCAGAAGCGAACTAGTGATGTGGAGACACGGATAAAAGCAGCACACTGGCCTGCCTCCCTCCCCCTGTGTGTGTGAAGCCCTCGCGCCGTGTTCCACCACTCACCTTTATCTCTGGATCTGTGGTGCTCCTCGAGTCTCCCTTTCATATGTTCTATATATATATAACTTTAAGAAGGCTCGATGCAGTGTTGTGGTTTCTCGTGGCGTTTCAGCACCTTTCCAAGAGCTATTGCTTTTCTAGTGTCCCACATATACTTGGCACTGGCAAACTAACTAGGATTTAAAAGAAAAACAAGCATCTCATCTTGCATTCCCACACTGATAGAATACCAGCACCGACACATTCCCAGCAGGTCAGCGTGTCCATCAGCTCCCCAGCGAGTGTCCCTGTGTCCCCCGCAGAGTTTAAGTTCATGCACAATGGCAATAAATCAATCAATGAACAATGTGTTTTGTCCACATTTGTGTGTGTGTAACGTGAGAGATGAGGAGAATCTGTGCAGAGTACACGTGTATCACCAGAAAAAAATATATTCTCCCAAGCACTCGACTACTCGGAAACGCGTTTGCACTGGATATTTCTTCACACTTCACGGTGAACTTTGTACCAGTTCAGTACGTACTGGTAGGTTGAGGAATGATGACGTATGCGTTTGTGCTCCGGGTAAAAATCTAACTAATAACTAACCAAAACATCACCCGTTAATGATCGTAAGTTCTTTGAAAATGTGTGTCTAAATACACTAATGAGACACTCGGATCTTCTTGGTCAACTGAGCAGATACTTTGATTTTAGTGATCATTGATTGATTTAGTGGGCAGAAATAACAGCGTGAAAACAAATAACCCAAATTGTGTAAGTTAAATCGAAAGTGGCATAAAAAAACACAACACCTGGACAGAAAAGAATTGAGATCTGAAATGGTCAGTATTTGAAGTTTGATGCGAGCTATGTAATCGATAATTCCAGACAATGACTCGTGTTTGTTCAGGACAAGGTTCAGACTCTGCACATTCTGAAAATTACATACGGTACCAATTAAGAGATTTTCTAAGTGAATGTCCTACTCAAGGAATCAAAAAAGCTAATATGTCAATATCTCTTGTCCTATAAAAAGAGTTCTCTCAATAATTCCAAACAACGGCCGGGGTACATGTGTTCATCACTTCTCTGACTCACTTGGACCAAAAAAAAATCTTACTGTACCAATTAAGATTTTTTTTCCAAAATTAAAGCTAATTTCTGAATATCTGAGTTTCAATAAAATAGGGTTTTCTCAATAATTGGGATGCCACAGCTCTGTACCTTTCCCCCAATGGCGGGGGGACCAACACCCTGTGGCCTGGGTGGGTCGGGTCCGTCTTGTGTAGATGGCTGGCATACACAGAGTCAGGAGCTTGGACCCTGAGACCTGGGCAAGGTCTCTCCTGTTCTCTGCCGTGTAGCTGGTGTACCACGCGGTGGCGTAGGAGCAGAGAATCGACTCAATGGTGCTCCTGTAAAAGTTGACCGGGAGCTTCTGCTCACGAAGAGCCTCTGCTGCGCTTTCTTCACCAGGTGGAAGGTGTTGATGGCCCACCAAAGATCCCTTGCGGTGTGGATTCCCAGGAATTTGATTACTTTTCTACTCTCCACCTCTCTGGTCTTTATAGCGTTATGGAGCAGGTTTTTGTCAGTACACCACTCAACCAAATAATGTACCTCCTCCGTTTAAAACCTTCAAAAGTAAAGATATTCATTGTCTTTGATATAGTTTGTTTCAGGTACACTTGATGTTGGGTATGATTATTAACAGGCAAGGTTTTTGTTGTATTTGAGGAAATCCACATTTTTATTACATGGAAGAAAACAATCTTAAGTAGATGTTCTCATTTCAAATCACACCCCATCTTTGATGTCGATAGAGATCAAGCAAAGCCCCTCTGTGCGCCCCAGAGCAGAATGCATGAAGTCAATCATGGAAACAAACCCGGTGCGGCGCAACAAAATCAATGACAGCGACTACGTGAGAAAGAGGACACCAATCAGCCACTAGTGAGCACTAGAGGGCGAAGGCTGGGCGTGCCCAGGTGTGGCTCTGTGACGTAGCGCCTACACAGGACGGTGGCGTCAAGGACTCACTGAGAGGTGCAGTCAACTCAGCGCTCTGGGATGCGATTAACCATTCCTTTTTATTATCCTCAGTAGTCTTCAGGAAATGGAGGAAAAAACACTTTTAATGGACAAAAAGGACCCAAATATCCACAACCTCCCTGCAGGTGACTTCACTCCAGACTCCCCCAGCGTTGCCCTTTCCCCTCGCTTTTATACAGCCTTCTAGTCAATTGGGCTAATTGGGAGAAACCAACTGGCTGGGGGTTCTGTCAGGTCTAATGTCTAATTGAACATGCTCTATCCTACACAGTTATGATAATATTTCACTTACGTTCTTATCATATTGTCAACACTGTTGTCATGTGGATGTGAACAATTATATAATCAAGTGCTGATATTAATGTACACATTTAGGCTGTTACATAGATATTCTGTGCCCTGTCCCAAACAAGGAATGAACTAGCCCACTTGTCCATCAATTTGGGGAACAGGCTCTTCCTTTAAGAGCCAGGATCAGCTGTGCCACGGAGTGCAGTGCGTCTCATTGAGGATGGACAGACAGGTCATGGACAGACAGGTCATTAATTTTATTCTAGAAAATGATTGGATTCCTTCAGGTCACGGTAGTACATTGTAGGATAATAGTGGTTGCTAAAACGTACCATAACAGTAACACAAGTAGAAAAAAGTGGTAAATTGAGTAAACAAACTCAGTTACACAGCGTGTCTTTTTAAAGGTCATCACAGAGTCTTGTAATGCACGGATGCACCTTTTCATTTGTATCATTTCCTCTTTAAAGGTTCAATAGTCCTGCTTGAGTGCAGTCAGAGAGCTTGTGCTTCATCGCTGGTGAATAGAAATAATTAGCTTGGCCTTCGCCATGTCCATTTTGTTTGAACAGGTTTAAACATTGTTAACGGGTTGCTACACCCAAAAAACTATCAAAGACTCAGAACCTCACCTATTGTAATTCATTCCTGGCGGTCAAGAGGCATGACAAATTCGAAATGGATGGATGCCGTGTCGTTCTTTCAAATGTCATGTCATTATATTGGTAATTTCCTCCTGTTTCTCTAATCTGCTCGTCCATGCTCCCGTGAAAGGTGCATCCTTACTAAGCAGTTGTATATTCATACATTTCATTGTTGTAATTAAAAGTAAATTAAAAGAATATTCAGCAAATATGAAGCCCGCTATAGAGAAAAAAAAGATAACATGTCATTAAAAATCCCAAATTCCATTACATAATTATAAATGACACAAGACATGAGGAGCATTGTCCTCTTTGATGACATCCTCACTGACATCATGTCAAAAAGATGTGAATCAAATAGACGACTCATGTTTTCTATCTCTAGTTTATTATTTATGATTATGCCAAAGGTATAATCATAAATTATTGGCCAATTAATAATAATAATAACAATACATTTTATTTATAAAGCGCTTTTCAAAATACTCAAAGACGCTTAATACAATGATGCAACAGAATTGAGATGCTTACAAAGAAGATGCTCAGAGCAAGATACTGGTTAAATGCTGAGTAACCAGTGTCAAACTGATTCATTTACTTCATCGATAGAATATAAAAGGTAAGTCAGTTGTTTTTTAATGAATTGATTTAGGAATCTATTTCTTAGCCTAATTGTTCATGCCTTTCATGCATTAAATAAGAATTCAGGAAACCATATTCCTGTCTTTCTTTAAAATAATCTGGTTTATTTAGGAAGGAATGCTATCACAGATTATTTATTCAGTCAAAGTCAAAACAAATTCAAAGAAAATAAAAATGATTAATCAATAAACAACTGAATAAATAAAAAGTTGAGAAATCCACTCCTACTTCTATGGAGGGATAGATTGATTTGCAGATATTCATATGTGACAACCTGTATTGATTGGTATGAAAATTGAACTGGTAGTCCTCGGAACCAGTGACATATTGCAAACTTAATATATGTCCCACAAATACGTGATAATGTTGACACAGTGTAAGTTTATTTTGCTTATACTTTGGACATGTACTTGTTTGGAATATATATTTTTTCTATTAATTTTGTCTTTTTTATTTGAATCCCACATCCCATTTTGTTTTCCTCCTTTCTTCACCAACAAATAGTCTGGCAAGGTTATTTTGCAGTGTTTTTACTATGCCATGTTTTAATGTCTGCCATTTTCTATATTATGTAGAATCACCACAGAAAAGAAAAGATTTGTTTCCATATTTTTACAATGTGCCGTATTGGTCTTCAAGTCTTACATTTACTCAAAATAAGACCATGGCGGGGGAAACCGACAGAAGATATTGATTATATTCAACCGCGTCATCAGGTGTCTATTCACTGAGCCTGACAGAATTCCCACAATTATATGACTTTTAAACTCAACCAGAATGAGTGAATCCAGAATAGGTCTTATACTACTTATTACTTTGCCCAAAATATCTCCAGGAATAAAAGCACTGAAATAATTATTCACCATGGAATGTAAACAGATAATCGAGATAATAATCAGAGGGCAGGTGGTGGGCATCTTAGAATACCTGAGCTTGTGTGTTCGATCCTTCTGTGCTGTCGTGAGTCTTAAAGTCCAAATGAAAATGTAAAACGTACGGAGAGAATTGTTGAGTGCTTTGCTTTGTGGGCTCTTCGTTTAAAGGGCCGAGGGCCCAGTAGCAGGAGACACGTGTCTCACAGTGCTTTAGAAAAACAGATAAATGGGGGTGTAGGATAGAAAAACACTACCTTGAATAATTTATTTACCAAAAATAATTAAATTAGAAAATGTGTGTGTGAAAAATTGTGCGAAAAAAGACTTTCAGAAAAGCTACTAATTGGACCATGGGGAGATTTATTTTATAGCTCTAGAAAAATCATACATTTAAAGTTTAAAATATTGCTAGGATCAAAATCTAATTTATTACAGACTACATTTTCATTACTCCATTAGAGAACCACCGTAGTGGTATAATGTTCAACATTTTTAAAGGAATAATACATTTTATCTGACACGTAAGAGTTCAATCATCCAGTAGGTGGCAGTAAAGCACCACAGTCCAGCTGGAGCACAAGCAGATGCCTCCTGCTAACTAAAACATCCTCACATAAGAAGAAAACCATTGTTGGCCCCGTTTCAACTGCTAATCGGCTTTGTCACAAACTCGATTTTCCTGCACTAATCTCCACCTCCCAGAAAATCCAAACAGGGCACACAGAACAAAGGTAAGACTCTTTAAAATCAAATTAGGTAGCAGCAAGACTCTTGTAATCCTCTGTTTCCTCCCCTTCTTAGCCATGCTGCTGTTTTCTCTATTCAGACGAAGCTTCCTGGTACATCTAATCCCTATTTATCA